AAAATATAAATTTCTTCCTAATATGGACTTTTTGGCTATTTTTATTTTGGCGATCAATCATCAATCAACACCTTAAAGGTGACCTAGCAACCACCTAGCAACAATTTATAGCACCCTAGCATTTGTTGCATGGCTGTTTATCAAAGTCAAGCTATCATCTCTCCTCTTGTGTTTTTCCCACCCTTTCTCTCTGTCTCATGCGTCTCGTATTACTGACAGGGCCTGTCTCCTATTGCTCACTCAACGCAAGTGAATCCATTGGAATGCTTATTGATCGCACATATGTCAACAGTGTGCTTGAGTCTCCTCAGCAAACAAGTGTGTTTAATATGGCTTGTTGTTGAAAACTTAATTCGAAACACGCTCCAATTTTTTTCTGTCTTTTTTTGTGCACAGCATAAAAGTGACTTTCTCACGCTTTTGACAGAAGCCAATCTCTCATGGAAGAAGGCATATGGAGCATATGGGGTTACATTATGATGTCAGTGACCTTTCCACAATGGAACTGATTTGTTTGTCAAGAGCTGATTACAGAGAGTCTACAAACAGGACCCTTTGTTTGTAAGAAAGTACAGTTCAAAGGCATTGTTTGAAAGGACAGCAATCATGTTAAGACCCAGATGCAGACAAAACAATTACAAGCATCTCAATTAAAAAAGAAATTGTTTATGCCGTGTACAATACCTCTAAATATCAATCAATCTGCACTGTCTTGTTGTACTTTCCCAGGCATAATGCATTGCTTTGTGTTGCATGTGTTTGTACAGTGGAAATAATTATGCTGTCAGTAGTCACAAGTACATTTACATCTGAGACCATATTTCTTTTGTTTTTATACTATTTGGGTTGTGAAGTCAAAGATTGAACACATCTTTCTCATAAAGACTTATCAATAATTTTTGTTTCACCTACTCCTACAATGAATCTCAGTGTTTGAATAAATCAGTTGAGTGGATGATTCGGGGATTCAAAGATAGTCACTTGCTCATTGCTGAAGGAATCAGTTTGTTTGAATGAGTCAGTTCAGTGAATGATTTGACAACTTGCTAATGAAGTTAGTTTCTTATTTGTTGCTTAATGAATCAATGTGTTTGAGTGAATCACTTTAGCTGGAGATTTGAATGAATTAGTTGATTGAATAATTTAGCTACTTGGCCTATTCCTAATTGATGCTGGATTGATTAGTGTGTTTAAACTATTCATCTCAGTGTATAAGTTGATTTGTAATAAATAAAGTTACTATGTGTAAACAATTCATTTAGATGCTCTTATCTTTAAGAATCTGTGTGGTTGAATGAGCTAGTTTAGTAAATTATTCACTGATTTGTTCCAGAATGAGTCAGTGAGTTTGGTGTCGAGTCTTTTCATTGTTTCACACACGTTGCTCTTTGACATTGACACCTTCAAATGATGTTGAATGAGTCACATACTGTATTTATAAGGTTTAATTCACCTAAAAATGTCACTTTTGTCTTAACATGATATTTTCGCGATCGGGAAATCACACGTGACATGAGCTGCTGACCGTGAGCTGTAATCACAGAGAGGGCGTGCACGCGCTCTACTTTAGTGAACAGAACCTGCATATGTTGCGGATAACAGGTAATACAGTTGCAAATAATCAACATTTGGGAGCCGCGCACGAAGTATGAACAAGCACTTAGCAGTCAAAATGAAACCGAAAGTGTGCACTTCATTTAAATAATCATATCGCATTTTAGAGTTATGACTGCGACAAGCATTTGATGTGTTTTTTCTTTCATATCGAACACACAGTTGTGCATGAAAATAAATGTTTATAATATCAGTATTACTACTATTGGCTATACATTGTTGAATATAATCTGATAATGGCAAATGTCTGATTTTACCAGTGAATAAAATTGTCTAAAATGAAAGATTGCAAGCATATAACTCAAACATAATATTTCAACATCAGAATTATTATAAGTAGAATAGAATTATTTATAGAAACCAGTAGACCTACACATAATATTATTATCGAGGTTGTGCCATATGTTTGTTTTTACCATACCTTTATTTTACATCAACAGAATCGTGAGAAAATCGGGATCTTTATTTTAAGCAAAAAAATCGCTATTTCCTGCATAAAACATGCTTTCTAGCGTGAAAATATTGCGCATTTCTTATCAAATTCATTCAACAATGGAAGATGAAGTTGCATGTGGCGTGGCTTTGCTCCACTTAATTATCCAATGTGCCCATATGTCTGAAATATCCTGAAGCAGCAATACAGTTTTGTACTGTCGCATAAGATTCCCGCTTTTTAAAAGAAAAATAGAAATAACATTAATGCACATCAGTAACTTTCCAGTAACTTTTCAAAATGTATGTTCCTGTAAGAAAACATGGTAAATATTTGGAAATAATTGGATTTAGGACCACAATAATCAAACCCTTGGGAACAATTGTGGTCGGAACCAAAAAGTTTACAGGTCTGTGTTTTCTGAACGCCTCTCAAGCGGTGGACTTTTTCATTCTGATTGCTTGCCGCCGAACTGCATCATAGTTCATTACCATTAAGTTGACTTGATTTCAACTCTCCTTGACACCCACACCGGGGAAGACGCACCGTGCTGCTCCTCGCCGCTTATCGCCGCCGGCTTTCATTGAAAATGAATGACTTCCGGCTACTTTTTCACTCTTGCCGCTTTCGGTATGATCGTACGGTAAATGATTCAATGACTTCCTCATGATTATAGTTCCTTGATTTGTTAATTGAACAGATCACCTGAAAATGTGTTGCTTCATTGACTCACCAATCACGTATCACGTCTACTGGTGTAAAGTTGTAATATTCAGAGTCACTGAAAATCACACTGACGCACAGAATGACAGTCACGAGTCCTTTTGCTTTTGCACTGTAAATCAGCACTTATGGACTGCCACACAGCCAATCAAATCTGAGGACTGTTGTGTAACTGTTAGCTGGTGTTTCTCATCATGACACATTCCAGCTCAGTTTAAGCCTGCCACAGATGGACCGTGGCTTCTCGTTGGGCCTGGCCCGACTAGATGCTTCCCAGGCTAATAGTCCAAACTGCAGTCCATCTGCTTGCTAGACTTTTTGGCTTCATTTCTCGCTCTGCTCGTCCTCTCCCCCTCCTCTCCGCCATCTAAATTCCCTCAACAGTATCAAACAGTAATAATATTTAGCTGTAGAGAGTCCAGAGCTGCAGTTTACTAATAAGACTGGCACACAACAGCGCCAGGCCAAAACCCCTGCATCCTGACTTCACACTGGGCTTCCTTCTTCTCCTCTGTACTCTGCTTCATAACTGTATACCCCAGCCATTATTATTTTATAATCAACTAATCCAATAGCTAGCAACACACACACAGACATATAAACCCAAATTGTACTTAGTTTTCTACGCATGTCCTAGAATAAGCATTCAGTGTTAATAAAGCTATCAGAACAAAACACGTGTAGTGTATGCAATATGGAAGGCCATTAATGCCAAAAGTCTTTAACGGCCCGTTTACACTGAGTGGTACAGTACAGTATGTTACGGGTCACCTTTATCAGGCTTGCATTTCCACTGCTAAAAGGGTACCAGTGGTATGAAATGTCTAAGTAAAGCTGTATAGGTTGTTCATATATCATATGAGAAGCACTTCTCGCAAAACAGATGCTTTATACACATAAATACTCGTGTTGACCATGGCTTGTTATTACATGTATATATGTAATGTCTTGGTTGTGTATTTAAAAATGGCACTTTCTTTGTTTTCATTCTTCTGGCTTGTGCATGAGCTAGAGACGTATCTCTTTAAACCAATATCGCTAAGCTGTGTGTCTCACTTCGCCTTTTGTTACTCTTTTGTTGTGCTAAGTACCCTTTTAAAAGGGTACCCAAAAAGTGGTACGGTACTTCTAGGTTTTTGGTACCTTTTGACTGTAGAAATGGCCATAAAAGCGTACCGAACCGTACCATAACATATCATAAATGTAACATTAAAATTCATGTCAACATGCATGTTTTGACTATGTTAATGTTATTTTGAATGTTTCTTTAGTGTTTGTTAGGGCTGCACGATACATAAAATTACATTGCAATATTTACTTTTTCTGCAATATATATTGCGATATGAATGTAATTTATCAAAATATTTAAAAACTCAATTTGTATTCAATTCATTATTGTACATAGATTGGGATCATATTGTAGGGGAGTGGATCTGCATAAAATACCTTTTAAAAGTCCAAAAATGTATCAAATAAACAAATTAAAGCACGGATGAAAACAATGGACCAATTCAATATGGTGATGCCATTGGCCCATAAACATTTTCTTGCTTGTTATCAAACTATTGTATAACTGTAACAAGTTTTTTAGGAGTGACCTGTTCAATCATAACCTCATGTTAAAACAGTTATCATAACATTATTTATCAATATGCGACTCTTTTTGGATTTCTAGAAGAAATAAAAATTAAAAATGTAAAACAGGAAATACATTGGGACCATTGTGAGTCTAACAATATTGAGGTACAGCTATTCAGTAATTAAATGCATAGATCCTGCGATGTAACTTGCAGATTTGCATACTGCGATATCGATTAATGCTGAAAAAATGCATAGAAATGCAGTTATACCAGCTGATATTTGCAGATGAATCAATATCTGAAATTTTGTACATGTATTCAGAAGGACTGTATTTTTGCATCACATATGGAAATTTGTCAAATACTGGAATTTCATTGGCCGTTGTGCTTGTCTACATGATCGTACTGCATGCTGGCAATCAAACTTTTGACCCTGATGGCCTTCCGTACATGACAGTTTTTCTCTTATACAAGTTCCTAAATTGCTTAATAAATTACTAATCTTACAGTATAACTGACTTTTATCTGGTTTACGCCTCAGGAGGTTTTTAAAAATGTTAATTTTAGGATGTTTCCTTGTATACTAAAACTGACATTTCTTTTGTAACAGCAACTGACGTGTTCTCTTTATTTGTGTTCTTCTTTTCCAGTGTGTCCTAAGGAGTGTGAGAAGAGAGCGTGCACGGATGCGGGCCAGTGTTGTCACCCCCAGTGCCTGGGCAGCTGTACGGAAGCAGACAATGATAAAGCATGCGCCGCCTGCCAGCATTACTTTCACGAGGACCGATGTGTCGAGGCCTGCCCGCCAGATACCTACAAGTTTGAAGGATGGCGCTGCATCACTATGGAGATGTGTGCCCGTGTTCACCTACCCAGCGAGGTGGACTTCGTCATTCACAATGGAGAGTGTATGCCGGACTGTCCACCCGGATTCACCCGAAATGAGACTCAGAGGTACGACACTAGAAATGCCTTATTAGATGCCGGTGTCAGTAGTGTTTCCTTTACTGTATATAGTGATGCTGCCGTGCCATTTAAACACAGAAAACAGCAGGGGTTGTTGAGTGCGTGAAGTGTCCATCATTACACATTTCATTTTACCGGTTGAATAAGTGCATCATCTGGGTATTTAAAGTGCACTTTTTTGAGGAGGGGGGGTTCTCAGTGTGAACGCATTACTTACGCTGTTTTTACTACAAAATGGCATAGAATAGTGCTTATTTATGCTACTTGGAATGCGCCTAAAAACGTAGGCGTACTACATTCGCCATTTTATCATCATCACGTGACCTACCCATGGCAGTGTCGTCGCTTCACTCCTGTTCATGAATTCGCTCGCGATGCATCATGGGATAGCATAGCCATACCTGTCAACATTGGGATGTAAAAATAAGGGATATACCCACCATTATAAGGGACCCTAACCCCATGACCTCACCCCCCACCACCAAAACACACACACAAACACTCTTCAGAGAAACACTCAAAATACGGTAGAAATACAGGAAAATACCTTTACAGGATAATAGCGAGATAGAACACGGGAGAATCCTGGGAAAAACGGGAGGGTTGACAGGGATGAGCATAGTGTCCAACTGATGCGCACTTCAGAATCTCACCTGTAGTAGGTCATCTGGGAACTTCTCACATACTGTTTTTTGAATGCTATCAATTAAGACATACTATTTGCCTCGCATACTGTTTTAAGCATACTACATAGTATGGAAGTATGCGATTTCGGACGCAGCTTATGTAAAAAATTAAATGTAGCTTCTTTTTTTGGAGTTTTGAAAAACATAAGAAATTATTAATGTGACATTTTTATTTATACTGTTGTATTAGAATCTACGAGCAGAAGGTTTAGACTGAGATTTATTTGTACTATTAAATATTCAAAACCCAGGCCTGTTCACTTTCAGATAGAAAAACACTAGAGAAATATGTGTTAAGACCAGATCTTGAACTTTTATTGAACACCTGCACATTTCAGCTGCAATATTAAGAGAAAACAAACAAAAGGACTTTTCTATGGAGCTTTTTTTACATACAGAGTCTGTTTTGTCTTTTAATGGAGCAGACCGGGTTTAATGATCCTCCTTTCACACAAATTCCAGGGTTCAAGCGAGGACTTGCACAAACACCTCATAAAGTAGTGACCTTGTGTTTGTCAAAAACAAGCTTTAAATATACTTGATGTTTTGCTGAGACACAATAATCATGTCACGTTTCACAAGCATTTGCCTGTCTCAAGTGCGTGTGTGTGTGTGTGTGTTTTTGCTTGTGTACATGCGTGTGTGTGTCTGTAATCTGTCCTTGACACTCTGTCTTTTCTCCTTCTCTGTCTGTGCCACCTGCAGTATGTTTTGCAGCGCGTGTGACGGCCTGTGCGATAAAGTCTGCGAATCTAAAACAATCGACTCTGTGGACGCGGCTCAATCACTGCAGGGCTGCACAGTCATCAAAGGCAACCTGCAAATCAACATCCGCCGGGGCAGTAAGTACCCTCACTCTCACCCGCTGATAAGGCCAGTTTCTCATCACATCACCAAGCCTTTTAATTATTATTTTATTCTGAGTATCCATAGTAATTGAAAACCTTAAAATTTAAATTGAGATTATATTTATATGTAATTCTATATATATATATGAGCAATATCACACTCGTAGCAGTGCGATGTGGCTGTATATCGGCACTGGTGGGAGACGTACGTTGCATGAGGTTGGAGGCCGAGTGCCTTTGGCCCAATCCCAATTCTACCCCTTAGCCCTTCTCCTTACCCCTTCCCTTCGTTTTGCGCATTCCCATGAAGTGGTAGGGATGTCCCAATTCTCTTTAGCTTGGAAGGCATAGGGCTAAGGGGAAAGGGTAAATACCCCTTCGAACAAAGATTTTTCTGATCCACACTCGAAGCCAAGGAGTACGAAAATTTCCCAGAATAGACTACAGTAGCTACAACGGCAGGATAGTTGCACCTGGAAGTAAGGAAATCCTTAAATTTGTATTTTTTTAATAAATTGTCATTGTTACAAATTTTTACAACAAACAAGCATATGTTTTAATATATTCATAAACACATTCGTATTTTACCACCATGCTTTAAAAAAAAAAACGCTAAATTTCGCTATCTATAATCTCTAATAATGACTCCTGTACAGTAAACCCACAATATACTGACACTCGATGACACTGGAATACCCTGTCAAAAAAGTCTAGTGGCTGCAATTAACCTTTTCACAGTGTCTGCTATAATGGTCAATGTTGTTTTTGATGTGCTTGAATCCAGTGATGAATATGGGCACAGTGCAAATACACAGTACAGTTATGATCTTATTGCCGCATTATATCGCTATGATAACATTATATGCCTTCAGTGATTCTTGAAGCTACAGTAAATACCAAAAAAATAACAAAACTAGAATAACTACAGCAGTCGCAATCATCTGATCACATATGAAGCAAGAGATTGCGATGACATATGATGACGTGTGCAGGTGCTGTAGTGCTGTTTCATTTTTTAGGGGTACATTTTGAAACCCTTCCTCTTCAAACTCGTTTTTAAGGGCCAAGGGGAAGGGGTAGGGGTACAAAAATAGAATTTGGATAGTGTCTTAGTGTCCAATGACGATATACAGCCACATCGCACTGCTATGAGTGCCATATTGCATTTATACAACAGTTCTACGGCATAATCGCATGTATAAAAAAGGAAATCAAACACGGAAAGTCTAAAAACCTCTTTGTTAGAGGAACTACTTTCTTCCGCCATTCCTTTACATCTGCAGCTGACGTCAGAAAATCGGAAACTGTTGCTCATTCACAAACGTCACTTTAGGGCTAGTATTTGAATGATTCTCTAGTGTAATGTCTTAAGTAATGACAAAACAAGTGATTTTACTGACATTTTAAGATTATAAGGCTGAACGGCATGAAATACCATCAGTCTACAGAGATTTCTCTCAGTATTCCTCTTTTACAATATTGCTATGGTATAAATACAGCACTACAACATACAAAAGAGAGAGATCGATTTAGAAAGTCAATTATCTGTTTAATAATGTTTTGATCAGCTGAAATTACACTGTATTTCTCTTATTGTGCTGTTTCTGACAACATCTTGTGGTTGAACATCGTCAACCATCATTGCTCAATGACAGGCTAATGGCCGCCAATGCGCTGTCTCTCAGAAATATTAAATATTTTGAAACAGGCACTATCCTTATGAATAAACTGGATAGTTGCAACCTAAACTAAAAATAGCCTCAAACGTGCATTATGTTGTCCAATAGCTGCAATATTAGTCAAACTGTAGAGTGTCCTCTGCTTGTTACTGTTTGTGGGTGGAGTAATACACAAAGGTAAGGGGTGAAGAGGCTGGACGTGTGCTGTTACTGTCAGAATATTGCACAGCTATCAGCCAATCAGATTTAAAAACCAGACAAAACTGTTGTATAAACAAATATAATCACTACAAAATTTGTATTTTCAATTATATAATTATTACTTTAAATTAAAACAGGTTATCAACATCCAGTAAGCATGAATGATTTAATTATTAAATGATTAGGAATTGAGGTGATTAATGTTATTGAGTGTCTCTTTGCCTCTGTTTCTTCAGATAACATTGCATCAGAGCTGGAGAGTTTCATGGGGCTGATCCAGACAGTGACTGGATATGTAAGGATCAAGCACACTCATACTCTGGGCTCTCTGTCCTTCCTCAAGAGCCTGCGATACATTGTTGGAGAAGAGCTTGTGGATAAGTAAGTAAACAGTTAAAGCACAGAACTATTGTGGTGACGTTTGGATGATTGATTGTGGACTGAGCAGAGCGGTGTCTGGAAAACAGGTGTCGTGTACATGATAAATGTCTCGCTCAACAGCAGATATTTGCTGGCCGGTTTCAATTGAAGATCATTTCATGGTTTGATCTATATGTTGATATAATTAAGAAGATATTTGACAGCTCTTTATCTCAGGGGTTGTGTTAGACTTTCTGCCATCAGCTATAATTATTTGTCTTTTTATTTTTATTTATTATACTTTTTTATCGCAATTAGTTGCATTGCATTTTTTGTCATGTGGAACAGATTTAAAACGAAAACAATCATTTAAGAGTTGGGTACCTTCCTCTATTTTTCTGTAGTAAGCCATTCATGTGAGCCCTGCAGTTGTAGTACAGTACTCAGACACACGCCAAATGCTTTCATTGGTTGAGACTTATGATGACGCAACCCCCAATCCCCCACCCATGTGACCCATGGTTTTTCTGTATGAATATATGACTTTTAAAATAATAATAATAGTAATAAAAACTCCATTAATGCATTATGAAAAATTGTTGGCTGTAATTAATTAATGTGTTAATGTGATACTAAAAGTTTAACTATTAATTAGTTATTAGCTTACAGAACAAGTTTTTAGTAGCGGAAAGCTAAAACTAAAATGTGACTGATTCTGAGTAAGCTAAATATGAACAACACAAATTGCACAATGTATTTTTATTTTCGGCGTTATTGACCGGGACTATGAACATTAATGATACAAAATCTACAATGTCCAGAATTAGCTATTGTACATATCAACAAAATATCTCAGGGTTGGTCATTTTAGTGAATATTCCTGATAGATATACAGTGGACCATCGGGTTATTGATCACATCACCTCCCTGACTAAAGCCCTTCTCCCCCGAGCACTCAGCTCGGCCGGCCAGCTCTATGAAGTGTCCTTGTGGTTCCAAACATCATTCACTTACTCATAATGATATATATATATATATATATATATATATATATATATATATATATTCAAGTCCTGATCGAGAGGTAACATCCCAGTCCTGATCAAGTCTGAAACCGTGTGGTCATCATGGCAAAGACAAAAGAAATTAGTTATTAGAAATTATTTATTAAAACTATTCTGTTTAAAAATGTGAAAATCTTCATTAAACCGGACTCTGTAAAAATAATACAAAATGTACAGAAGGGCTAATGGTTTTATATATTCTATATTTAATTATGATTGTTTTTTCTGTTCATCTTCTGTCAGATGTTTGCTCTCCTGGCGTAAGTTTTGTGGAGGATGTGTGAGGGAGGCTGTGGGAACTTTTGTGTTGTGATCTCACTAGGGTTGAGATTTGTCTCCAGAAATGCTTGTAAAGCGGCGCAGACATTCTCCGCGTTCCTGAGCTGTTCAGTGCAGCTGTAGAAATCATCTTAACCCTCTTCTGAGCCCTGATCTCCAATCGGGCTTTACTGAAATACAATCTGTGCACGTGCTTCAGTTGTTGTTTTCACACATACCGCATTCGTCATGTGTACAATCAGATCTGATCACTTTCATTCCATTCCATTTTTCTTATATTAATAATGATCTTTGTAAATGTTTGTGTGTTACAGTACATACGCATTCCATGCAGTGGACAATCACAACTTGCAGTATCTCTGGGACTGGACTCAGCACAATCTGACCATTAAAACGGGGAAACTATACTTTCGCTTCAATCCCAAGCTTTGCATGTCTGAGATCCGAAAAATGTGGGAGAAAACCAGCGTCAGGGAAAAGATGGCAGAGGACGATGTTCGTAGCAATGGAGAGCGAGCAAGTTGTGAGTAGACAAAGCTTTTCTCTCAATGACTAGAGGTGTAAATCTTTAGTGAAATAAAATGCAGTGTGTGAGGATTCAACAGTACAATGAGTCTTGATGGATCACAATGCTTCTTTGGTTCTTTTATTCATTTTAGTTATACACTAGAATAAGTTATCTGAGTCATTGCAGAGATGTATGGATGCAGTCATCCAAGCTCATGGGAGTCATACACAATATTCGTTCTTTTTCCACTGCACTATGACTTTAGATTCTGTACTGTACATTATTTCTGGTAGATGACAAGTCTTTTGTCTAAGCAAAGTCAGACCTTACTGTCTTAATTAAATAATTAAAAATCAAGGCATGATCATATTTTATTTTGGTAAAATAAGCGTAATCTAGAGGCCTTTGCCTTTCATATAGGCCACTTCTGATACTAAATGATCAACTAGAAGTCAAGCTATTATTTGTTGTTCCTAAAACTTTGATAGACGACTAAACTTTTGTCAGGTAGTGTATACATGCGGCAATTTAACATGTATTCGTATAGAGATATTGAATGAGTAAATGATTTCTTATTTACATTAGTTGTTTGATTCAATAGGAGTTCAAACGTCAATAGGAAAATCAAACGTCTAATATCAAATCAGATGTTTTTCATGATCACATACAGTGCTCAGCATAAATGAATACACCCTATTTCGAAAATAAATATATTTATATCCATTTCTCAGTGAAAATAGCCAATATATTTTGTAGCATTTGAACAAAACAGATTTATTAAACAGATTTATTTATTAAAATAATATTTTAGTTATTGAACATCCATAGAAATAGAAGGATAATACATTTAAAATCATGAAATATAAAAAAAAAATGTACAAAATTTGAACAAAATTGTGTATGTTTTGTGTCTCTTGATTCTTGCTATTTGAATAAAAATGTTTTTTCTATAATATATAAGTTTTGGTGTACTAATTGTGGATCATTTTTATAAATAATTTTGTTAGATAAGCTCCAAATTTGGCTTCAGCACTGACTCATCTAATGTATATGCACAAAAATATTATTGTAAAGCATCCTATAGAAAATATTAGTTTAAATCAGTGATTTGTGAGGGGTTTACTCATATATGCTGAGCGGTGTAATACATTACCAAATATAAAATCAAAGTAGATTTCAAATGTTATACATTTAAAACAATCTTTAAACGAATTGACGTTATAAACGAATATAAAATTGTTGGATTTTTATAATAACCTGTGAGTGTTTCTTCTAAACGAGCAATCTTCGTTTTCTTTCAGTCATATAATCAATAATAATAATCATTATCCACTTATGCCATTTATCATATTTGATCATTTCATTTTTATTGATGCTTTTATTCTTTCATTAGTTCAACTGCTAATCATTTATTGTTGAATTTAATTGACAATTAATAAAATTCTATTTTATTCTGATGTGTCTTGCTCTTCCAGTGCATGCTTGTATTCTAATCAGAAAATGTAATCTAATAATTGTGTGGTTTCAAGAGAGGACAATGTTGTCATTTTTTTCCATTGCTATTGTGCTTGTGCTAAAATAAGACTTGTCAGGTTTGTGTTGGTCAGATAAAGTCAGGACATTAAAATATACTAATTCCATAAACTCATTTATAATCATTATCATTACTGGGTTTTCTGACACTCAGGGTGTTCACTGGATTTTTACTGTCAGCTCCTTTGAAGTTTCAGTTTAGTTCTGGTACTACACGGCTACCAGACAAGACTTGCTGTTAATAGGTTTTGCATATTAGGCAACTTAGCTGACTGTTAGAACACTAGACAGAATGAATATTTTCGGACAGGACTTGCATTGTTTTTTAGACATTTTTTTAATCTTACATTATCAAAATATTAAGTCAGATTGCCTCTGCAAACACATAAAGCTAAAAATGACCTTAGAAGTACTGTAATTTTTTTTCTGAGCCATTTTTGTGATCACATTTAACCAATTTGCTCCAGTGTAATTTTTAGCACAGTAGGTGTAAAAAGTCACTTCTAAGAAAGTAAAATCTTCACACAAGACTGCTCAGTTCAAACCTGAACGTGTTCTTATAAATAAGTTTGATATTTCTATGCTGCGGAGTTTGTAATTGAGGTTTAAATGTCCAAATACATTTTACGGCCGTTTGAGTTGGTTGGTAGACGGCAGCGTTATCTCATTACTCAAGCCTTTTAAAATGCAGTTTGCTCCTCAGGTGTCCCGGTAGTCCTTCGCTATCTGCTTCCCTATTATGCCTTTGACAGATTTCCACATAGAGTGAATTTGCTCTGAAGAACAATGATAATGGCTTAGCCAATGCGCTCGTTTCTTCTTTTTTCCTGCAGAATGTAATTGCTCTGACTGTAGACTGGTGAGACATTAGCAGAAGTGCCTTTTCTAATACCACTTCAATTCCTAGAAGCTCATGAAAGATGGAAAGGCCGTGGCACAGTCTTACATTCAAGCTGAAGAACTCTTCGGGGTGCTTTTAGTTAAATCTCTCTTATGACCCCTCTTCTAGGTGAGAGTTATATTCTTAAGTTCAGATCCAACCACACTCAGAGTACTCGGATAAAGCTCACTTGGGAGCGATATCGACCGCCAGACTACAGAGACCTCATCAGCTTCATTGTGTATTACAAGGAGGCGTAAGTACCAGTTACTATTGTAAACCTATTTTTCACTTCCAGCTGGGATGGAGCGTTATATAAATGTATGTTTGTGTGTTGTTGTCTTGATGAAGACCATTCCAGAACATCACTGAATTCGATGGACAGGATGGGTGTGGCTCTAATAGCTGGAACATGGTGGATGTGGACCTTCCTCAGGAAAAATCGATAGATCCTGGAGTACTGCTGTCCCCCCTTAAACCCTGGACTCAGTATGCCATCTTTGTGAAGGCCGTCACTCTGGTTGTAGAGGACAAGCATGTTGGGGGAGCTAAGAGTGAGGTGGTCTACATCCGCACCAATGCATCAGGTTGGTTACACACTAGTTTCAAATACATTGAATTGCTCATTTGAGAATGCATTTTGAATTATTATTTGATCATTTGAGCGTTTGATTTATCACTTGGGTAGTTGTTTTGAAAGTTCAATTTATTATTTGATCTTTTTTGGCATTTTTCATTTTCATTTTGTTAGAGAAAAAACTTCCATATATATAAATACATAACAGTTAAATACAAATTTACAGTCCACATGCGCTAAGAGTTTCTTTTTGTAGAGCGAACTACTTAAATTCATTCATTTATTTTCTTTTCGGCTTGGTCCCTTTATTAATCTGGGGTCGCCACAGCAGAATGAACCACCAACTTATCCAGCACATGTTTTACAGCGGATGCCCTTCCAGACACAACCCATCACTGGGAAACATCCATACACATTCATTCACATACATACACTATGGACAATTTAGCTTACCCAACTCATCTGTACCACATGTTTTTGGACTTGTGGGGAAAAACCGGAGCACCCGGAGGAAACCCACGCGAACACAGAAAAACATGCAAACTCCACACAGGCGAATGTGCTACCCACTGCGCCACCACACCGCCCCCAACTAGGTAAATGTGATATGAAATTTACATTAAAAGGCTTTTAGCAGCATGGAAAGGAAAGCAAGGTAATTTTTTTACAGTAATTCCAATAATGTTTTTTTTCTTCAGAAGAAAGTCTTATTTGTTTTTATTTGGCTGGAATTAATGGATTTTTTAATTTGTTCGAAAACTATTATACTTTTAGTCCCCTTAAGAAATGTATTTTTCAATAATACAAAATCTACAAAGTCCAATTTTAGCTATTTTGCATATGAAGAAAACATTTTGAAGTTGGTCATTTCAGTGATTTTTCCTGACACTAAATAAATAAAAAATGTATAAATTTAAAATTGCTAATAATTTCAAATTACATTAACATTATCACAGTATTAGTTTGTTGTTGTTGTTGTTATTAATAATAATGACATTAATGTTATTATTGGTGTTACTATTATTTTTGTCATTGTTGTTAAAGTCTTTATTTGTTCGAGTAAGGAGGTCTGAGATTCAAAAATCAAAAGAAAATCGGTACACTGCCACTTTAGCTCTCAAAAAATTGTAATGTCACAATGTTTCGACCTGCATGGTCTTCATCAGGTTACACTTGGAGAAGTACAGCTCTACACATCACACCTGCAAACAATCACACCAATCAGCCAACAAGCCAGTAAACAAACACACATACACACATATACAACAATATACATATGACAATATGAGATGCAAACCTACAATTGCAAAAAAAGATTTCAAATAAAAATCTAAATTTAAACTTTCTCGAACAAAGTATTCAGTGTAAGAGACATAGTATTCAGCGTATAAATATAACGCATCACACCTGCAAAAAATAATCACATCAATCAACCAACAGGCCAGTAAATGTATGTATGCAATTGTATGTTTGCATCTCATATTGTCATATGTATATTGTTGTGTGTGTGCGTGTGCTTGTGCGTGTGCGTGCGTGTGTGTGTTTGTTCACTGGCTTGTTGTCTGATTGGGGTGATTGTTTGCTGGTGTAATGTGTAAAGCTGTACTGCTATTTCTTAAGGTTCTCCAATTGTATTGTTTAACCTGATGAAGACCATGTACAGTAGGTCAGAACGCTGTGACATAAAAAAATGTTTTGAGAGCTAAAGTGGCAGTGTAAAGTGGTGATTTTCTTCTGATATTTTGCTAATGTGTTTGTTTTTGATCAAGCACCTGCCTTTGAGGATCCTAGATGAGCTCACATTTCTATTTCAAGGTCTGAGATTAACTTAACTTAAAGTAACAAGTTGGCAGAACCTTTTTGGGTGAAGAGAATTTTGATTTAGGTTAGGTAAACATGTTTAATGTAGTTGTAAAGACATTTTTACAGTTTTTTTCTTAACCAACAAAAAAAAACAGGTAATTTAAACTTTTTTCAAGTTGGGTTTTTACAGTGCTCCATGATCCACAAAGTAAAAAAAAAAACGGGGAAAAATATATTTTAATGCTGTAATTGAATGTTAATTATCAAAACAGAATGTCTAAAACAATATTAGACCCTTGTGAAATTTTTGGTTTCCTGATTTCATTTTTTTGGTTTATGTTTTATATGATTTGCCAGATTTTCTTGATTATAACTCCCAATGAATCAAAGCTGTTTTGTTGAAAGAAAACAACATTTGATTTATTAGTCGCACTTTACGATAAGGTTTCATTAGTTAATGTTGGTTAAGCTATTTACTGATATGAACTTATTAAAAACAATACTCGTACAGCATTTATTAACCATATGTCAATATTTACTAATGCATTATTAAAATCCAAATTTATGATTGTTAACAATAGTTCATGCATTAACATGAACTAACGATGAACAACTTAATTACCATTAACTAACGTTGACTAACATGTATAAGTACTGCAATAAATGTATTGTTTATTGTTTGTTCATGTTAGTAAATGCTTTAGCTAACACTAAAACAACCTTACTGTACTGTGTTACCAGTCATAAATATGTAAAATTAGCCCTTAATAAGATAAAAGGTTTAAAAAAAATTATCAAGATGTATTTTTATTGGTTCAGAAATTATACTGTCATTCACTATAAGCAACCTTTTTTATGAAAATGTTAAGCATGAACTATTGAATTTAAAGGTGAAGCAGAAAGTAGCACTGTAGTTATGTCGCATATAAGTTTCAGAAGAAAAAAAAAATGGTAATACACGAATATTATGGGAAACAATAATAACCAAATAACGCTTAAAATGTTAAATAAAATGTCAACAATCCTCTTTTTTTAGGCAAACATTTTTCATTTAAAGCATCGAAGAAAAATAGTTTGACATTACCTTTTTTTGTTTTATTCTTACTGCAAAAAATATATATTCTGTTTAGTCTAATATTAACAGATATTGGTCCATGATAAAGTGTTCTGTATAGCTGCAATTTTAATTTCTTTATCCTCATTTGTCCAACTTTCATGCCAGAGAGAGTTCAGCCAACTGTGAACTCCGAACATAAAGTAAATTCATTTTTAAGACTCAATTTTAAGACTGGATCATAAGTCCCTACAAAATTCTATGTCCAATCAACAATATGACTTTTTATCCCAACTAATATCTTGATAATCCACAGCGCCGTCAATGCCCCTTGATGCCCGTGCATATGCCAACTCCTCTTCATCCCTGATGGTGAAGTGGTCTCCTCCTATCGCTCCCAACGGAAACAAAACATTCTACTTTCTCCGTTGGCAGCAGCAGGCAGAAGATGGTGAACTCTACCAGCATAACTACTGCTCTAAAGGTGAGTGCTCATTTGGCCAATGATATTCCAAAAGTAAATTCTTACAGTAGTTACTGTAAAGTAGAGCTGCACAATTAATCAAAAAAAGATCGCGATCTCGATTCGACCCCCTAGCCGATCTTAATTCAGCATTTCTATGATTCTGCCAATCTTATTTTCAAGTTCAGGAGAGAAGCGGCTGCACGAGTCTTTTCATTGTTTCACATACATTGCTCAGTGACATGGACACCTAAAAATTCACCTAAAATGACATTTTTGTCTTCATAAAATGCTGTATTCGCGGCTGGGAAGTCACACGTGAATCACACAGCTGCTGACCGTGAGCTGTTATCGCAGAGAGGGCGGGCGCACCCTACTTAATGATAGACGCACGCTTGTCTACTTTAGCGAACAGAACCTGCATAGGCTGTGAGTAACGGGTAATAAAGTTGTAAATAATATTCAGTTAGTGGCACAGAGTGATCTTTTGAGAGCCGCGCTCGAAGTATGAACAGCACTTTGCAGTGAAAATGAAACCGAAAGCGTGCACATCATTTAAATAATCATACCGCATTTTAGAGTTATGACTGCGACAAGCATTTGATATGTTTTTTCTTTCATAGCAAACACAGAATTGTGCACGAAAATAAATGTTTACAGTGTCAGTATAACTACTCTGGCCTATATAATGTTGATTTTACCAGTGAATAAAATGGTCTAATAATGTTGTCAATGACAGAATGCAAGCATAGGCCTGTATCTCAAACATAATTCACATCAGAATTAATATAAGTAGAATAGAATTATTTATAGAAACCAGTAGACCTACACATAATATTATTGTTTTTTTACCATATATTTGAGAAAAAACAAGAATAATTGCTGACTCATATTAACCTTTATTTTACATCTACAGAATTGTGAGGAAATCGGGATCTTTGTTTTAAGCAAAAAAAATTGCGATTCTCATTTTAGACAGAATCGTGCAGCTCTACTGTACAGTTAATCGTATTATTATTATTATTATTATTATTATTGTTATTGTTATTATTATTACATTATATTGTAACTGTTCAACTGGGACTGTCCAATGCCACATTTGAATAGCTGTATTAAAGGGAACTGTATTTATGAAAGATTTGTATGTGTATTGCTTCCGTTTGTTCAGTCAGCTCAGTCTGTGTGATTGTTTTCCATTACAGAGCTTAAGATCCCAATCCGGATCTCGGCCACATCTTTGTCAGACATGGAGGGCGAGACAAAGCCCACAAAATCAGATGTTGCCGGGGGTGAGAAGGGTTGCTGCCCCTGCCCAAAAACCAAGGAGGACCTGAAGGCAGAAGCTGAAGACCGATCCTACCGCAAAGTCTTTGAGAACTTCCTGCACAACTCTATTTTCACACCCAGGTACAGTATATGCAAGAATGAAGTTCCTAGAGGGTGTCAAGGACAGTATGCTACAGGTCTATTTGGTTTAGTTGCTATTTCAAAGCATTTATAGTTCAAATGTTTGATCTTAAAGAAATATGTAGCATTTAATACAATGCAATCACTACCATGCAAATTTTGAGATGTTTATCCTTTTCTTGGGAAAAACCTAGGAAAGCCTAATGAAAGTAAAGCAGACCAACCTGTAAACATTTAAATGCTTTCTTTTATAGTGCATTTATAGCACATAGAATGCATAAACATGATTTTTGGCCGTAAGCGGAACATGTGTGTTTAAATTTCCTTTGTAGAGCAGATGCTTATGTGGTTAAATGCGTACAAACAGCCACAAAAGACCATCTTCTATGTGCCTACTGAATTAAATATGGCAGGATGTGTACTGTATATAGACCAAATTCACCCCCTTTTTTTTACTTGTATAAAATAAGAAAGTTTTTTTCATTTATTTTCATTTTAAGTGCCTCGCCTAAATCTGTTTGATGAACTGCCAAGTAATACACATTAGCACAAATGCTGTTGTTTGAACTTGCTTGGATATTTCCGTTCGATAAACCACTTTGGTACTGCATTGATTCGCCAGATTTATAAATCTAGAGTTCTGATGGAAAACTACTGGAAAGGTTCGGTGGGAACAGCGGCTGGGTAACTCCCATCACTTTCTGCCACAGTTTACAACAGTGGTCTGAAGCCCTTAATTTCTTCAGTCTTCCTGGAGAGCGATTATCAAAGCGGGTCTGAGCTCATAGTCTTGAGGCGGCTTGATTTCATGGAATCAAAACCAGAATTCTGGAGGTCGGACCGAGACCTAATTATTTCGACATGGAGCTGACAAGATCAGAACATGAGGTTTTGGGAAGGGGTCGGTGCCAGCAGCGGAGGCTGGAGCAGACTCAGATGGCGAGGGGGGGAAAGGTAGGGAAATCCAGGCCTGTGTGGCCACGATGTTTGTTGCTGGGGCGACGGTGGCGGTTGCATATTAAGATTTCAGCAGGCTGTAATTTGGGATGCACAAACAGACGCAGACTGGATTAATGAGACTGGAAAGCAGCCGCCGGCTGAGGGCTCGCTCCATGTTAGGCTTTTGTTTGGAAAACGAGGAGTGACGTCTGCATTGTGTTATTTGTTTACCTTGCTTGTGGCATCGGATGTTTTCTTGTCTCATGCGGGCAAAGAATGGCACACAGGAATCAGTTCAGGTTTACTAATAGCACATGCTTTCAAAGTTTCCGAGGGTTCCTTCAGGACATCTTTCAATCAGAGGTTTTTGGGGGTTGTTTATTTGGTTGCAAGTAAGTGTGTGTGTGTGTGTGTGTGTGTGTGTGTGTGTTTTGGGGTGGGCTGGGGTTTTGAGTCATGAGTATTGATGCGCAAATTGATGTCGCCAAACATCTTCTACCACTTAGCTTCCCCAAACTTCTGTTTTAGGACCTCTATTTTCATCAAGGTAATGGTTTGCAGTTCACTCCGGGACAATATGATGCTCCCGTTTCTAATCGATAGAAAACAGACTTTTTAAATGTAAATATGCTTTCCCAAAGTAACAGGACTCTCATGAAGCATTCTTTTCTCCATTACTGATGACTTTATGTTTCCATCTTGACCTCAGGCAGCCAAAGGACTTGAGCCTCCTCCCTTTCTTTTGATTTGGAGGTTGGGCGAAAGGGTGGTCACTCACATTAATTCATCATGACGTCAGATTGACATTATACCCCAACATCATGGGGACATTGCATTTTGTTTGGAAATGAAAATTGGGTTGACGTCAGAACTCAACGTCAGGCTGACGTCAATGTTCAACTTCCAACCTAAAATCAACCACATATCAATATCTAATCAGGGTTCAACGTTAAGGTTTTTTTCTGTTGGCCCGATTGGCCCAGGGGTTCAGATTTTTACTTGCCCTGTCAATATTTTCTCTGGCCCCACCAAAAAAAAAAGGTAAAGTTAATAACTGTTTCTAAGCCACGTTTTAAATATTGTGTCAAAAATGTGTTTGAATCTAGAATTTAAAAGAATTTAAAATGTTAATAAATGTATAATGAGCAAATTGACGCGTTGTACCCACGTCAATGTCTGTTTCCAAGATGTCTTTTTAGCCTCATAATTTGATGTTAGCGTCACTTCACTGTGCTGGTTTTTACCATGTTACAAAAAACGACATGCTCACAACATCCAATCAGATAAGAGAAACCGAAATAGCAATATGGTGTTTATGACATCACAGAGAGGGCAGCATTTAAAGGCTTAAAAGCACAAATTGTTTCTCGATTCTAAGACTGCATTCATACGCAATTGACAAATAGTCACAGGCAAATTGAACTTTTCTGACTAGGCAGCACAGATCAGGCCAGTAACAATCCTATCTACTGTCCCGAGCGCCTCGCATGCAGTCCTTATTGTTGAGTCCTGCTAATGATGTTACAAATTGATGTAGTGTGGATGTTACCAATGTGACGTCTATTGTTTTGGTTGCCATACCTTACGAGTAAATGTCAGTTTTTGGCTTAAGATGTTGGCTCGACGTTAGCTCACTTTCCAATAAATTCCAACCTAAAATCAACCAAATATTAATGTCATTCGATGTCGTTATTGGACGTCAAAATAACATTGTCCTTAGATGCTGGCTAGACATTGAATTTTGGTCGCCAGACGTTACGACCTAAATCTAACTTAATACTAACGTCTTATGACGTTGTGTGCCTGCTGGGTCACTAAGGCTTTTCAAGCTAGTGTTTTCAAATATCTTCTGAATTTATCATATCCACACTAAAACATCTAAAAAAGCTTATGCTTGTGTACTGCAAAACTGGTTTACTTTTTGCCTCTTTGAAACACTGGACAGACAATGAGGTAGTGTTGTTAATTGAGAGTGAAAATATAGACTTGGAAACATGCTAAAACAAAAAAAGCGAAATATTTGATCTGTTTGAAGAACACGTCATCAGCTTAACTTCACAGTAAGGACAATCTCACAGAACTCATAACAACAACAACAACACCGAAAGCAATCAGGCTTAACCACAGACACATGACATAACTAAAAATGCATTGTTTTTGAAAGGCTCTGTTTTCACACTCCACACTACAATACGAAAATGGCATTTTCAGAGTTATCCACTGCAAAGAGCATTTACATAGAGTTCTGCATTCCTTGACAAAAACAAAAATCTCATACACAAGGCTAAAATGGAGAGAAAAATATGTGTTGCTCCACAGACATAAACAGTCCAAATACACTCTGTTTCTGTTCACACAGTGCAGATGTTTAGACCAAACATGTCCTCTAGATGCAGATGTCTCTAGTCCATCTGTGTTTATCTGCAGTTGAGTACACTTTGAAAGCTGTGCACGAGGAAAGTGGCCTCCTAATCCATTCAAGTCTGAGAAAAAAGTGGAGATGCTAAACCCTTGGGTGAAGCCGGATATGTTTTTCCATTCAACGGTCGTCTCTCTGTTCTCTTCCTCCCGTCCGCTCCGTCTCTCCCTCCTTCCTTAGACGTGCTCTTTGTTTGCTTTGGAGTGTCCGGCTCCCAGGAAATGTACAGCAGACCTACGTGGAATGTTAATGAAGTCCAAAGGAGGATCTTCTAGAGAGGTGTGGACGTGTCTTCTCTTCTTTCAAACTCCCACACAGCCGATCGGGCATGTATAACGGAAGTGGACTCGTTCTTGAGCCTTTTGCTTTGGTAGACTTGAATTTCTTCCAGGCAGCAGTTAAAGATTGACACGTACACCTGGGAAAAGGAAGACTGGATGTGCTGCTGTCAGTGCTGCTAGGTCAACACCTGCTGTCACAACTTATCATCTGAGTTTTGCAGGTGTTAAATCTCCCCTCAGGGCTCAGTGTGTCTCTTTTCTTCTTAATGTAAGACTGACCTTTTCCTAGTTAGCAGTCTATGCCAAAAGCATTTAGGTTAAAATCAGTGCTAATGGCTGTAGACAGTCACAACAGTGAGTTTGGTTGGGTTAAAGGTTACAAAGGAGGATTTACTAATTGTTATATATGGGTATTTCTTTCTGGTAGTTGTAGTCATCGATCAAGGCCTTGATTTGATTTGATCTTCCACTGTAAACACTCTCAAGGGTGATCTGAATTCCTAGTTAGTGAGTATTAAAATTGTCCAGTTGCTTCCAAAATTCCCAATCATAAATCATGGAACGCTATTCACTGGAAGTGACATGGAATGTGGTTAGGGTTGATTTGATTGCTCATCCCTACAGCATTCTGAGTTGGCTTTTATTAAAAGTTTCCACTCTCACACATATACAAGAGCAAACACACACAAATATCTTCTCTCATTACTGTCAGTCTTCTGTTGATTAATTCAAGTTGGCAGAATAAGGCTTATAGTAGTGTTTAAACTTTCATAATCGTCTGTGATTCAAGTTTGTAATTGCTTGTAAATTGTCTTCTTGACGATTATTGAATTGGACACTCAAACACTTTCTAACTGCATGCCATGGGAAAAACACCTGCCGTTGCACTCAGGGAGCAAAACACTTGGCTTTTTTTTGGCACATGCAACAGGATGTCTTTAAGATTAGACCCTGATTCATCCCAGTTGAGGGACAGTATGACCAATATTATTATTAAAGTATTTAGTGTACAGTTTTTATGAAAGATGTGAGATTTTATTTTACAAAAATACATTGTTTTAAATGATAAATGTAATTTAATTGAAGAAGACTTGTGGATAAATCAAAACAAATGAGCATGAACACAAACAATAAAACTTAAAAAAAAATTTTTTGTCATATTTGCAACACTCGAAAAGTAATATCATGTGACCTATCAAGTGTTCTGCAAATGTGACACTGTTCATCAATATACATCCACAAACATCTGAAACAACTCAATCAACAACCAGCTACTACACCTACAGTAAATACTTTGATGCTACTTTACCTCCGGGCTTTTTTACTTTATTATTTGAGTACAGTGAACTCATTATCATGTTCAAGAAACCAGTCTGAGCTAGAAGTAACCATCAGAAGATGGGTACACTGTGGTCATAAAGAAATGGATATGGTCAGCAACAATACACAGATAGGCTGTGGCGTTGACATGATGCTTAATTGGTACTAATGGGCCCAAAGTGTGCCAAGAAAATATCTCCCACACCATTACACCACCACCACCAGCCTGAACTGTTAATACAAGGCAGGATGGATCCATGGTTTCATGTTGTTGACATCAAATTCTGACCCGACCATTAGAATGTCGCAGCAGAAATCAAGACTCATCAGACCAGGCAATGTTTTTCCAATCTTCTATTGTCCAATTTTGGTAAGCCTGTGCGAATCGTAACCTCAGTGTCCTGTTCTTAGCTGACAGGAGTGACACCTGGTGTAGTGTTCTGCTGCTGTAGCGCATCTGCCTCAAGGTTGGACATGTTGTACATTTAGAGATGCTCTTCTGCACACCTAAGTTGTAACGAGTGGTTATTTCAGTTACTGTTGTCTTTCCATCAGCTCGAACAAATCTGGCCATTTTCCTGTGACCTCTAGCATTAACAAGGCATTTGCGCCCACAGAACTGCCTCTCACTGGATATTTTCTCTTTTTTTTTGGACCATTCTCTGTAAACCCTAGAGATGGTTGTGCATGAAAATCCCAGTAGATCAGCAGTTTCTGAAATACTCAAACTAGTTTGTCTGGCAACAATTATGCCACATTCAAAGTCACTTAAATCATCTTTCTTTCTCATTCTGATGCTCGGTTGCTTGGTGCAGCAGATCGTCTTGACCTTGTCTACATGCCTAAATGCATTGAGTTGCTGCCATGTGATTGGCTGATTAGAGATTTGCGTTAACAGCAGTTGGGCAGGTGTACCTAATAAAGTGGCCGGTTAGTGTTCATCTAAATGCTACATCAGATTCATCTTTAGTGTTTTCTCTGCAGTACATTCAGTGAAGTTATTTAAAGAATTTTGTGGTAAAATTGGAAGCTGTCAGACTAATACTTTTAATAATCAGCCAAGCATCCACAATTATTGGTTGTCATGTCTTCAAAACACTCGATTACAATTAGTTACAATTCCCAACCCATTTTTTTTCTTCATACAAAAGCTCAAATGTGTCTGTCTCCACTTTTCTTGTCAGTCTATGTGTGACACATCATGTCTTTTCCTCTCTTGTACCTGACACACTGGGCTTCATCTCAAACCATCCTGTCTTTCCCGTCTGTGTTGGATGTTTGGTCTGACTATTGACATTTTTACAGAGATCCAGAGCGAGCAAATCGTTACGCGTCTCCTAAAAGTGGCTCTAGGTAAGGCAGTCATTTCTGTGCAGTGGCAGTGGGTCTGCTGGCGTCTGGTAAGCTCTTGTGGTTGCTGCTGACTGCATGCGTTTAGTAGCGTCAGGGTTGACCTGTTGCCAGAGCCTTCGTTTGCTTATCTCCTCATGCACCGTCTCTGCCGTCAGAGGAAGTCGCTCATATCATGATTATGGATGTTCGATGTGCGTTCTAGATATGCCTTCCCATTTCATTCACATCTGCAGAAACTGCTTCCCTTGCAAATATATTTTTAGGTTAAGCAGTTATAGTGAATATGAATACCCGCAGGTTTTAGAACTGGACAGGAGAAAAAAAATCTAAATGAGAGCAAAGAGAGAGTTAACAGTTCTTCGAAACACGCTCTCCTTTTATTTCAAATCTACCACATTTCCACGAGGGATCCGTCCCAGCCCAGCAGGATACAGAGCAGTCATAAGAATTTAAAAGATCTCATCACTCAGGATGATAAATGATGTATAAGATCCAGAAGAGCTGTAGGTTGTAGAGTAATGCCAGTTTTTGTCTGTGCTGCTAAGAGGTCTGTTAGTAGGACATTAGAAAATCAAGCCTGCGTGTTTAAGGAAGTGGTGTGTGTTGTAGAGTAATCGTGCGCAGTAATTGGCTTGTATGCTTTTAAACCAGCGCAGAATTTTCACAGTCCTGGCACTTATTGTCGTTCACCTCTTCCTTTTCCTCATTTTCTGCTTCCTTTTTTTTTTTTTTTTTTTTTTTTTTACAAATTACATTTTTTCTTTTATCTTTGTCTTTTTTGTCTTTTTCCATTTTCCACTTTTTTTTCTTTTCCTAATTTTTGCTCTTTTTCCTCTTTCATTTTTACCTCCTTTTTCATTTTCTCTTCATTCCTTGATTTCATTCATTCATTCCTTTGTATCACTGTTGTTACTTTTCCCCCATTTACTCTAGTTATTTTTCTTTCTTTTTTTATTGTTCAGTTATTTTATTTACAGCAGGGAAAATAAGTATTGAACATGACATGTTTTTTTTTGGGAATTATATTTCTAAAGGAGCTGCTGATATGGAACTGAACCAGATTTTGTTAAAAACCCAAGAACCCTGTGGGTCTCGTCTATCAAATCTGATCTTTATTTTGTATTTTCTATTGGATTTAAGTCAGGTGATGGGCTGGGCCATTCTACAGCTTGATTTTCTTTCTCTGAAAGCATTTGAGAGTTTTCTTGGCTGTGTTTTGGATCATTGTCTTGCTTAAATGTCCACCCTGGTTTCATCTTCATCATCCTGCTAATGTAGATGTTGGACTGAAGCAGCTAATATTAATTTACACTGGCCAAGGGCAGCGGTATTGCTGAAGAACTACTGGGAGATTTTAGCTGCTGTCTGGGCTTTCACTGCCATTCTACACCTCCCTTTCTTCATGTGTTCAATAGTTTTTCCCTGCGTCATTTCATTATATTATGCATAACTTAATTTGTAAACTAATATGATTTGTTTTCTTTGAATATATGGATTTCTTTGGTTGTTATCAACATCTGGGGAAAATTTCAAGTCAACAGCACCTTTAGAAATATGTTTTCTGAGAAAAATTGTGACATGTTCAATACTTATTTTCCCCGCTGTAACTGTGGCATTTGGTTATTTTACACTTCCTTTATATTGAATTTCTATTTAATTTCCCCTTTTTTCAAACTTTCCTTTTCCTTTTCATCTTCCTCTGCGCATCTCCACTTCCTCTAACTCTTTTGCACCCCATTTCAGACCTCCAGACAGGAAGCGTCGAGACTTGATGGGAGTGGCCAACAGCACACTAGTGTCGGGTGTGAGCAGGAACATCTCAGTTCTGGAGAGTAACATCACTCAGCCAGAGCTGCCAGAAAAAGAGTACCCGTTCTCTGAAGGCAAAGTCCACACAGAGTTCATGGAGATACACAACCTTCGGCCCTTCACCGTCTACCGCATTGACATCCACGCCTGCAACTATGAAGTCCACCGGTGCAGTGCTGCGGCCTTTGTGTTCTCCAGAACCAAACCGGCAGGTCAGCAAAAACCAACAAACCAAATCACTGCATATTCAGGCCAGTGAAATATTAATATCCACTGTGCCTACAGCATGATTTTTGGATTAGTTTTCCTGTTCATGTTAGCGGCAATTAAGCCTGAATGCAATCTAAACCTTATTGAATTACTATAAGAAAGCACTGGCCTTGAGCATACTTATGTTCTTCTACAGATAAAGCGGATGATATTCCCGGCTCTGTGACTCAGGAGAGGGATGAGAAGGGAGAAGGAATAGTGCTTCTGCGGTGGCCTGAACCTCTTCACCCCAACGGACTGATCCTCATGTATGAGATCAAATATCGTCTGGGAACTGAGGTTAGTGTGACAACTAACTCGTACACCATTAAGAAATAGTTATAACCAAAGCCAAAGCCACAAACCAACTGACTGAGGATGTATGTCTGCGTGTGTGTGTTTCAGGCTGAGAAGCATGAATGTGTATCACGACAGCAGTACAAAGTTCTGCGAGGAGCTCAGCTTAGCAATTTGGCCTCTGGAAATTATTCAGCTCGAGTCAGAGCCACTTCTCTGGCTGGAAACGGGTCTTGGACTGAACCAGTGTCCTTCTACGTGCCACCCCCTAAACGTAAGAAATGCACCCATAGGCCTACTTGTAGGATAAGTGTTTGTCAAGAAAATAATAACGATAGTTGTAGGGCTGCACAATGTATCGTTTCAGCATCAATATTGTAATGTGCACATTCGCAATAGTCACATCGCATGATATGCATTGTTCATTCTGAATTATTAGAAATATAAGCTACGGAATCGTAGTTAATTACTGTATTTATACAGGATTTATGCAAAAACGGAAACAAAAATGTTTTTCTTACTTACAATTACAATTACAAAAGTCTTGTTTCTAGTGTAAATATTTACATCCCAAATCAAAAAAAACTTTTTTTTTTACCCCACTGGCAGATAAGTTTACTTGTTTTAAAAAAAAAAAACTCTTAATTTTGACTTGTTTCTTCTGAAATTGAAAATAATAATAAATAATAATAAATAATACAATACAATACAATAATACAATAATATTTAACTTTTTAAAAGATTTTTTTGTGATTTGGACTAGAAACAAGACTAAGCACCGTAAGAAATGCATTTTTTTTTTTTGCTTTGTAGATTATACAGTTAATGTACCTGAGTACTGTTAAACTCCACAGAAATAGTGTTCAAATGGTGCTATTCAAACTATCTTGTGAAACTGTATTCATATCGCAATATTTATCGCAGAAAAATAAAGTATCCCAATATCAGCTTTTTCTAATATCGTGCAGCCTCCGATAGCCTAGTGGTCAAAATTTGTATTTTCTATTGGATTCAAGTCAGGTGATTGGCTGGGCCATTCTACAGCTTGATTTTCTTTCTCTAAGACTATTTGGGAGTTTCCTTGGCTATGCTTTGGATCATTGTCTTGCTGAAATGTCCACCCTGGTTTCATCTTTATCATCCTGATAATGCAGTTGTTGGACTGAATCAGCTAATATTAATTTACAATGACGAAAGGTCATCAGTAATTTACAATGACAGAGGGTGGCTGAATAACTACTGAGAGATTTCAGCTGCTGTCTGGTCTTTCACTGCCTTTCTTCAGCTCCTTTTCTTCATGTGTTTAATGCTTTTTATTTATATATTTTTTAACTTGTCGGCGCAAAAGCCTATTGGTTAGTGCGCTGGCATATGGTGCAGTAGCACGTCAGGGCGTCCTGAGTTTGAATCCTGGTTCGTGGACATTTCCCTACCCCCCCTCTCTCTCTCCAACTTTGCTTCCTGTCTCAATACTGTTCCATCTAATAAAGGCAAAAAGGCCAAAAAAATTACACATAACTTAATTTGTAAACTAATAAGACTTTTTTCTTTTGTATATATGGATGTCTTTGGTAGTTTCTAACATCCAAATTTCAAGTCAGTGGCACTTTTAGAAGAAAATGGTGATGTTATCAATACTTATTTTCCCCGCTATATTTAAAATTATATTATATATATATATATATATATATATATATATATATATATATATATATATATATATATATATATATATATATATATATAATTATTATTATTTTATTTTTTTAACTCTTTGTTAAGAACAAGGGCTGGCAAAAGATTTTACGTTTACACAATAAAAGTTTTTATACATCATATAGTTACCATTATAAAATATAGTAGTCTAAAAGATTAGTTTAAATGAACAGTTGGCTTTCTGGTTTCACTCAGAAGCAAAAATCTACCCACAAATTTCAAAGAAAGAGATATTTGACATTTATTGTGATAATAATCAATATTGACTGATATGGGGAAAATGTAAAGTTGTTTTGACCATATCGTCTAGCCCTAAGAAAATGCTTACTGATGACTCTCTTTAAAGGAATGCTTGTGATGCAAGGCATTCAGTCTAATGTTTTGTTTATCTTTCTGTCCTTCTCTCTTACAGGGAATTATGATAATGCCTTCTACGTGGCCATCATTATCCCTGTTATAGTACTACTTTTGCTACTCTTCGTGATCGTAGCTGTCATCATTGTGACCAAAAAGAGGTTGATGTCCCAGCTATTAAATACGAGACTTCTTTTTTTACTTCCACTGTCTAGTACTGTTTTTTATTGTGTTTTTATGCATGCTTCTTTTCAGGAATAGTGACAGGATAGGAAATGGTGTGCTGTATGCTTCTGTGAACCCCGAGTACTTCAGTCCATTTGAAAGTGAGTATTAGGTTTATAAACCAGGTTGTGTTGCATTTCAAATAACTTTCTTAACTAAGAGTATTTTAGCTGTTTTTAATCCAAACTAATACAAAGACAGTGCCTGATTTCCTGTTTTAAACATAATTATAACTTCATTTATAACTGTAAATGATCAATAATAATTATTAAAAACTAATACCTTGTTGTTTATATTGACTTTGATGCTTTTACTGACAGACAAAACTTATACATATGATCATTAGGAAAATGATTAAGTAATCCCTATTGCTGGAATTATATAGCTATAAAGATTTATCTAATATTCTTCAGTCATTAAATCGTCATGATTGGCAGAATATGTTATAGGATCTTCTATATATATTACAATTTTGCCGATTCTGTTTCTGCCACCTCAGTGTATGTGCCAGATGAATGGGAAGTGGCTCGAGAGAAGATCACCATGTGCCGTGAGCTGGGCCAGGGCTCTTTTGGTATGGTGTATGAGGGCATTGCAAAGGGTGTCGTTAAAGATGAACCTGAGACCAGAGTGGCTATCAAGACTGTAAACGAATCCGCCAGCGTACGTGAACGCATCGAGTTCCTGAACGAAGCTTCAGTTATGAAGGAGTTCAACTGTCACCATGTGGTAAGAAACGGCGGAATCTCACCATACAGTTGATTTTGAAATGTTAAATAGGTTTATTTAGTTATAGGTATACGATTCTGACGATATGATAACCTTGGATAAAATTATCACAGTTTTCACGATATTGTGGTTACTGCTAAAATATGTCCTCCTTAGATGTCTGGGTAAAAAAATGCTACTTTTTTTTCCTCCATTGAACACAATATAGTTTACTTTAAGAAATATTTTAGCACAGTAAACATGTCAGGTTAAATCATTTAAATAAACCTTTGACTTCTGCTGTCTTCATTATTCTCAAAAACACAGATTTCTTTGAAACTTATAAAGGCACCTTTGGATATCTTTCATTTCTATAAATATGAATAAGCCACTGGACTTTTCAGCTCTGTAGTTGGTCTATAGCAGGGATCACCAAACTTGTTCCTGGAGGGCCGGTGTCCTGCAGATTTTAGCTCCAACCCTAATCAAACACACCTGAACAAGCTAATCAAGGTCTTACTAGATATACTTGAAACACCCAGGCAGGTGTGTTGGGGCAAGTTGGAGTTAAACCCTGCAGGGCACCGGACCTCCAGGAACGAGATTGGTGACCACTGGTCGATAGGATGTTGGTGTGTAAGTGTTTTGTTTTTCAGATGTTTGCTGAATCGTGGGTTTACTTGTAGCTCTTGATGTGGATGCTTCATTGCTGCTGGAGATACTGTTGCCTTAAATAAATAAAATTAAATAGTCTTTAAACAGGTTTCTTAGGCCCTGTTTACACCAGATATTAACATGTGTTTACTGTACATCAATCTGATCACAAATGGATGACACTAAATACTGTAACCATACACCAAACCTTAGTTAAACTATTAGTTGCCTTCCATATCCTTTTTATTACAGGTAAGCCACAATCTACTGGAAAAAGAAATATACAAGAACACAAACTAAAATATTTTCTCAAAATAAAATGAATAACTTCACATCTGCATAAAACATCTGCATACTAATCCACTATAATACAAAAACAAAATCAAATATGCAACCACTGATATGATTTCATTTTATTGATAATGATGTATTGCATGTATTGTATTGTAAGTGTATAATGGATTATTTTTTACTGTCAACTTCCTGCCCAGGGACTACAGATGTAAATTAGCTTTATAGCTAACTCTGGCACAACATGTCATGTTGTACATTGTCCCTGTATGAATAAGTAAAATAAATAAATAGGGATGCACAATACTGTTAAAATCTGGAAATTGCAATATTTAGTTTTTTATGCGATATATATTACGATATATGTACAATTTCATAGGAAAATTTCACAAAGATCCAGGTGAAGTCAAGTTTCCTCTTTAGACTAGTGAAGTAAAACCTTTATTTGGAAAGAATTTATTCATCTAATAATAATAATTCCTTAAATTTATATAGCACTTTTCTAGACACTCAAAGCGCTTTACACATAAGGCGGAATCTTCTTATCCACCACCAGTGTGCAGCATCCACCTGGATGACGCGACGGCAGCCATTTTGCGCCAGACCGTACACCACACACCAGCTAATTGGTGGAGAGGAGAAAGAGTGATGAAGCCAATTATGATATGGGAAGGGTTAGGAGTGGGCAGATGCCAGGGTTAAACCCCTACTCTTTTCGAAAGACATCCTGGGATTTTTTACAACCACAGAGAGTTTTAATGTCTCATTTGAAAGACGGTGCTCACTGAGCAGTATAGAGTCCCAGTCACTATTAGGACCCACACAGACCTCAGGTTGAGCGGCCCCTGCTGGCCTCACTAACACCACTTCCAGCAGCAACCTAGCTTTCCCATGTTGTCTCCCATCCAGGTACTGACCAGACGCAGCCCTGCTTAGCTTCAGTGGGCGACCATGTGAGAGTTGCAGAGAGCTAGCTGCCGGCTATTTAGATTGCTTGGGTTAGGATTGCGCCTGAATGCTTTAAATGCTCACACAGTTACAGGCTTTAAAAACACATGCATATGATAAACTTTCACTCTATTATGGTTAATTTTGAAGTAACTCCTTAAATCTCATGTGTTCTGAACTGTGGCTCCTGGTAGAGATCTGGGCGGGACAAAATTTTAGTACGAACCCGACCGCTCCCACTTATATTCAGCATTTGTTGTCCCGCTGCCCAGAGTCCAGACAGCCTATAACAAGCTGTCTGTAAAAAACACAAACACATAGACACACAGCAACAAGCAAGCGACACACAGCATCACGCTCTTTCTCATTCACACATACAGACACATAGACAGCACCAACCTCTCTCTTTCTCATTCACACACATACACAGACACATAGACAGCAACAAACAAGCTACACACAGCATCACGCCCTCTCATACACACATACATACGTGTGCTCGCTCGCTCATTTGGGAGTCTGGTGCAATATTGTTAGACCGCCTGCTCCTGTTCAAACTACACCAGTTACCGACCACTCCCGGGCTGTTTTAGAAAATTTATTCCCGCGCCGCAAGAAATCACAAAAAATCTGGTCGGAATGCAGACATCGATGTGACTACTGCAGATGATATCAATGCTAAAATTATATATTGTGCAACCCTAGGTGTGAAGTACTGTATAAATAGTTTAGATAGTGTTCACAAAGAATAAAAAAAAAAAAGAATACTTTACATACCTGTATGATGTACTTCTACTACAAAAAAGAATAACTGGTTTTTAAAAGTTTTATATACTAGACACCGGTGTCTCTTTTTTTACCCTGATGTAGGTCCGTCTTCTGGGTGTGGTTTCACAAGGACAGCCTACTCTAGTTATAATGGAGCTGATGACGCGGGGTGATCTGAAAAGCCACTTGCGCTCGCTCCGATCCAAAGAGGTACACAATCATCCTGTTGACTTTGCATGCACACAACAGTATACTGACTGATTAAAAATGTACTGTTATTTTCATTATTTTTATTCTGCTCATAGTGTTATTCCCTTCAGATTTACAGTCAGCTTTTCAAATATATGTTTGTAGTAGTAGAGAAAAAGAGAGAATTCAGTAGTGAGGATTTTTGTTTTCTTTTGGACATGTAGCAGGGCTCCAGCAGCCAGTCTTTGCCTCCGCTGAAGAAGATGATTCAGATGGCGGGTGAGATAGCGGATGGGATGGCGTACCTCAATGCCAACAAGTTCGTCCATCGAGATCTGGCTGCCAGAAACTGCATGGTTGCTGAAGACTTTACAGTTAAAATCGGAGGTAATTCTTAGTTGTGCACAGTTCATAAATCTTAGTCAGGAGATCTTATGAAGAACTAGGTGTTTGAGAGGTGTTTTTGACCCTTCATGTTTGCTCTCTTCTTGTGTTTAGACTTTGGCATGACGAGGGACATCTATGAGACTGACTACTATCGCAAAGGAGGCAAAGGGCTGCTGCCGGTCCGCTGGATGTCTCCAGAGTCTTTGAAAGATGGCGTCTTCACAACTAATTCTGATGTCTGGTATGAGCATCGCACACAGACACATAAATGCAAGACTTTAGGTTGCTTCTCTGTAAAGTGTTTGTGTGTGTGTGTGTGTGAAATGAACTTGCATGTAGCCGGTTAAATATTACGATTTACTGTACGCTACAGTTCAGAAGTTGTAGGTCTGTAAAAAAATATAACAATGGTCAGTGTTGCCAATTATTTTCAATGAAAAGGCTCTAAGCTCTGCCCGAAAAGTCTCTAAACGTTGCTAGATTACATCATAAGTCAATTTGCATATTACTGACGTCATCACATCCAGCTGTTTCTATTTGTTTAACAGCCTATGGTTAATAAAGGGGTATTTATTTTTGCACTACGCTTAATGTATGCATGTCAATTTAAATAAACTTATTGCTGTTTGAATACAGTAAATTAATATAGATGTGTAGTGACGTCAATCCCTCAGACATAATAAACTCAAGTTCCGAAACTGTCACTAAAATATCTGTGATTGTTTACAAGAAAAGAATAAACAATCAAATTAAATTGTTAAATTTAAAAACAAAGGAGAAGCAGATATGTTTGACAGTACAAGGGAAATACCTCACACTCACGGTGCTAAATGATTTGCCGTCGATACGCAGAGTGCGGATCTGCCCTCAGGGTGTAGGTGGGAGAAACTACTGTGAGTGCTCTGAGGTGGAGGAGGGGCCAACCGCATCACCTGCAGCTCGTTAAGAAGAGTAGGAACTGTACTGTATGGACACATGAGAGTATAAAAATCTTCAGTAACACCAAAAAAAGTCACAAAGATTTGTCGCTAGGCGCTTTTTTTGAAAAGTTGTCGCTAAGGGGGTCTGAAAAGTCGCTAAATATATCAACAAAGTCACTAAGTTGGCAACACTGACAATGGTTTTGAAATAAGTTTGCCTCTTTAAGAACCAAGGTTATATTTATTTGCTAAAAAAAGCTTATTGAAAACATTTGTGAACAGTTTTGAAATATTTTCAATTCCTGAAATGGCAAAACTGACCAAGCTGTTTCTCCATTCTTCAGTGTCACGTGATTCTAAGCACATCATTTTGGTTCTTTTCAGATATGGTGAAGTTGTTGTTGTTGTTTTTAATTCTAATATTTCTGAACTTTCTAATATTTGGGCAAATTTTGTTTAAAACTGTAAAAAATATTTGGAATGAAATATCACAAATTGTATGAGTTCTATTTATACATAAAACACAACATAATTCATTTGGTTAAGACATTTAATTTGAAAGAAAAAATTATTATTCTAAAAATTAATTTAGGTATAAGCTCTTAGATCCAAAGAACGTTTTAAGTGCGTCCAAATTGTGACTGGGGTTTTTCCATGTGAGCAGCAGGTTGTCCCATCAGAGTAGTTCTTCTTCAGCAAAGGCCCCCCGACTGTCCAGAAAGCATTGAAACTGTCTCTTTATTTTTCTTAATACGACAGGAAGCCTCATAGGCCTGTAAGAGGTGAAAACCCTTTAATGTTTTTTTCCACTGATGTTCCGTATCAAGGGAGAGAACGCATCACTTCCAGACATTCTTCCAGTCCCAGCCAAGCGAAACGTGCCCAAACACATTGTGTCTTTGTCTCAGACAGACTGTCTCTCCACAGCTTTACTCCCAGCAGCAGCAGCAACAGCAGCGGTTCAGTAGAACAGAGTCACGGTGCCATAGACCGACTCCATTTCCCAATCTCCAGCGTCCCACAGCTCTGTCACTCGGTGTGCTCTTAACCTCCTCCAGATGTTTAGTAATGATGGGGTTGGTGTGCCAGCGCAGACCCGCCTCCCTGTCCCTCCGTCCGTATCTGCCTCTTTTGAAGTCCCCGAGATGAAAAGAGCCACTGCGAGCTCCCATCTCGTACTCCCATAAACCTCGCTGTTAGGTGTCTTTATTTGTTTCTCCCCCCCCGAAAAAAGTGTGGTTTTGTCTTTCCACACGCAGATGTTGCAGCCAATTAGATGCAAGTCACTGTTGTAATGGTCCTGTTTTAGAGGGTGTTGAGCTTTGTCTCAGATCTCCGGCCAATGTCGAAAATTTGTCCTCCGAGAGCTAATGAATAACGACTGGCAACAGTGCGGTCTTTGTGTGCTTTTTATTTGGGGTTTGCCGAATTTCTGCTCCGCCGCTGCACTTTCTCACCGGCCGCCGGCTAATATATGGACTCGTTTTCATTAATGAGGAACACAGGGCTAACAAAAACACCACACTAAAAGAGAAAAGTTCAGGTCAGCGGCTCATGCGGCGTTTGCGTTGTTTTAGAAAATGAGCATTTTGTTGTTCCAGGCTAGAAAAAACACAAGGATGCATTCGCAGCACTTTTAGTATCGCCCACGGTTAGGCTCTGCAATTGTCTATTGGTGCATCTCTTGACCTCAAATGGCCTCATTTCTTCTTCCTTGTCCTCGTTATTTGATATGTGCAGTTGCTGGATAAATTTAGTATAATTTACTCTAAATGCATTTGTATCACCTTGTTCCTCTTTTTGCAGGTCGTTTGGTGTGGTTTTATGGGAGATCGCCACATTAGCCGAACAGCCCTACCAGGGCATGTCCAACGAGCAGGTACTGCGCTTCGTCATGGAGGGAGGACTTCTGGATAAACCGGACAACTGCCCCGACATGCTGTGAGTCCACCAACTGCACGTTGCTCCCAAATTTGGCAGACTGCATTACAATGTTAACCCTTTGTCCTCTAGCTGACTCTTGTCCATGTAGGGTTTGCGATATCCAGTTAAAATGTTGATAGTATGTCAGCAGATGCTGCCACTAACGTCAGACCAAGCGAAAGCCTGACTGGTGTCATTTGCGTCACGGGTTAAAATGAGATGAGTTACATCATGTTGTCAGGGAGCCTCCCACCCATAGAAGAGAGAATGTTTGCTTCCCAAGGGGCTGACTGTCAGAGTGACCCAGACTCCTCTTGTGTTACTTAAGCAAGATACTGCAGACCAAAACTATTTAGACATTTTGAACTTTTCATAGTTATTTATTTCATAGTTATTCAACTTTTGAAGTCTTATTTTAGTTTGATAGAAGGAAAACATCCAAAATACACTTCTGTATGACTTTGTGTCTGTGGATTTTAATTGCAATTAGGCATGGGCCAGTATAAGTTTCTGACTGTATGATAACCTTGAATAAAAATACCACGGTATGACAGTGGTATTGTGGTTACTGCTCTAAAATATATTCTTTTTAAATGTCTGAGTAAAAAGACAAATTTTTTTCCTCCATTGAACACAATACCTTTTATTTTAGTAAACATTTATAATATTTTGGAGCAGTAAACATGTCAGGCTAAATAATTCAAATAAATCATTGACTTCTGCTGTCTTCATTAGTTTCAAAAACACAGATTTCTTTTCAACACATAAAAAACATGAATACTTGATGATGATTCACAGTTGTGTAATGTTGACCAGTTTAAATATCTAGGTCTTTGGCTCGACACTGGACTGTCCTTAAAACCCCATATTGATTTTATAACTAAAAAGTCCTATCAGTGCTTAGATTCTCTTTATCGTTGTATTAATTTTTTTTCACTTCAAGTATGAAAAAAAAAAGATTTATCAATTAATATTTCCCATTATTGATTATGCTGATATTATTTATAACAATACCTCTGTTAATTTAAAACCTTTTAAATTGCGTCTTCAATTCTGTATGTAGGTTTGTTGTAAGATGTCCACATAGAACTCGTCATTGCATATTATACAAATCTCTTGGTTTGCTTCAACCTAAGTTCTGCAGACAATATCATTGGTATTTGTTTGAGTTTAAGTGTGTTTGTTTTAGTTTCCCCTCTTATTTAAAGTATTTGTTGTACCATTTAACTCCAGATATTCTCATCGCCATACTCAACAGAATTACCTTTTTGTTTCAAGAATTACTACAAAAAGTTGCCGTAGTTCCTTTCAATACAAAGCTTCTTCTGACTGGAACGATCTTCCTTTTTTTTTTCCTTTTTTTTTTAGATCAATTAAGACATTTTCAAGACAAATTTATCTTCTTTTTTGGAAACTACTTGTAAATGTTTTTAATATTGGGTCCTATTAAAATGCTTATTATTTATTTGCATATCAAATTGTTTGTACTTTTATATGTTTTTGTTAGCTTAGGCTTGAGACTGTGCAAAGTGTTTCAGATGAACCGTGCTGCTTGTTTGTTTTGTTTAGCTGTATGTTATGACGTGTTGTACTCTGTTTGATTTGTGTACTTTTTGGGGACCCCCTCGAAAATTAGATGGTTCATTTCAAGGGGCTATCCCATTCAATAAATCAAACAAAAAGTGCTCAGGGTAGCTTAAATAATGTGTCTGGGCTCTTTGGGTAGGGGATCTATCAAAATAAACAGCAAAAATTAGTCCAAGGCACTCGAAAAATGTGGAAAAAAAAATATTTTTTTACTTAAAGTGAAATACTAATGGTCTAAAATCTAATTCAATGTTTTATGCTAAGCAAAGCTAAAATCGTTCCCACCAGATTCCGGAGATGGGATGAATGTATCCCCCCAAAAGAATCTTCTTTAATTAAGCATTGCCACATTTGCATGTTTAAATTACAGATTATAAAACTTCATTTATTAATTTTCCTTTGGCTTAGTCCCATATTTAGCCACCACAGTGGAATGAACCATCAACTATTCCAGCATATGTATTACGCAGCGGATGCCCCTCTAGCCACAACCCAGTACTGGGAAACACCCATACACTCTTGCATTCACACACGCTCATACACAACGGCCAATTTTGTTTATTCATTTCTCTTATAGCACATGTCTTTTTGACTGTGGGGGAAACTGGAGCACCAGGAGGAAACTCACACAAACACAGGGAGAACATGCAAACTCCACACAGAAATGTCAACTGGCCCAGATGGGACTCAAATCAGTGACCTTTCTGTGAGGCGACAGTGCTAACTTGTAATGCTAGTATTGTTTGCAACTCTCAAAGCAGTCAGTCCACTTGGGAAGTACGGCGATAAGCATTAGTTAATTGTTTACCCTGTTCACCTGCAGTGTCTTGACTTAAGAGCTCCACACACTAATCTTCACATCATCGTCTGCTTGCGTCACTCATCTGCTCTGGCGTTCTCCTTTTCTGGGCTGATGTCAGCAGCGAGGCATCTGTCTGTTTCTCCTGACCTCTTTCTCCTGCAGTCTCTCGTTCTTGTCTCGACTGTTATGGAAACACAAACCCCGGGTTTCCATGGCAGCCACGGCGAGATGTCCTGATTGCACGAGAGAGGAGGCCCGAGTGTGTGCTGTGCTGCGCTGCACATCTAGGTGCTCAGAGTCTGTCATCTGTATCTCATCACAGCTCTCAGCTAAACATCATCAAGTCAGAATGTCGCTCACATTTTTGTGATATCATGAGAATTTAAGCAACGCTTGGATCATGTACAAGGGCAGGGAATCAGAAATAGTGTGCAGAATGCTGATCCTTGAATGGTTTGCTAGTACATTTTGTAGAGCTTGTTGTTTCTCTATTCTTTAAGTGTATGAATTGTACTACCATGACACTGTGTTGTTGTTTTAGGATTATAAAAAGGCATACAGATTTCTTGCTTCATCATTGTCCTTTATGAAGCTGACTTTCAAAATCTAGTATGTTGTCTATCTAGGTGTCAGACATTATCATCTAAAGAGAATGCTGCATTTATTTGAAAGGATTACAATTTTTAGTAATAACCTCTGTACACTGGCTGGGCACTTTATTAGGTACACCTGTCCAACTGTTCATTAACGCAAATTTCTAATCAGCCAATCACATGGAAGCAACTTAATGCATTTAGGCATGTAGACATGGTCAAGACGATCTGCTGCAGTTCAAACTGAGCATCAGAATGGGGAAGAAGTGACTTTGAAGATGGCATGGTTGTTGGTGCCAGACGGGCTGGTCTGAGTATTTCAGAAACTGCTGATCTACTGGGATTTTCACGCACAACCATCTCGAGGGTTTACTGAGAATGGTCCAAAAAAGAGAAAATGTCCAGTGAGCGGCAGTTCTGTGGGCGCAAATGCCTTGTTGATGTCAGAGGAGAATAGCCAGACTAGTTCCAGCTAAAAGAAAGGCAACAGTAACTCAAATAACCATTCGTTACAACCAAGGTATGCAGAAGAGCATCTCTGAGCACACAACACTTTGAGGCAGATGGGCTACAGCAGCAGAACACCACACCGGGTGCCACTCCTGTCAGCTAAGAACAGGAAACTGAGGAGGCACAGGCTCACCAAAATTGCAGAATAGAAGATTTGAAAAACATTGCCTGGTCTGATCAGTCTCAGTTTCTGCTGTGACATTCGGATGGTCGGGTCCAAATTTGGCAACATGAAAGCTTAGATCCATCCTGCCTTGTATCAACGGTTCAGTCTGGTGGTGGTGATGGTGAAAGGGTGTGGAGGATATTTTCTTGGCACACTTTGGGCCAATTAGTACCAATTGAGCATCGTGTCCACGCCACAGCCTACCTGAGTATCTTTGCTGACCATATCCATCCCTTTATGACCACAGTGTACCCATCTTCTAATGGCTACTTCCAGCAGGATAACACACCTTGTCATAAAGCGCAAATCATCTCAGACTGGTTTCTTGAATATGACAATGAGTTCACTGTAATCCAATGGACTCCACAGTCACCAGATCTCAACCCAATAGAGCGCCTTTGGGATGTGGACTGGTGATTCGCATCATGATTGTGCAGCTGAGAAATCTGCAGCAACTGCGTGATGCTATCACGTCAATATGGAGCAAAATCTCTGAGGAATATTTCCAGTACCTTGTTGAATCTATGCCACAAAGAATTAAGGCAGTTCTAAAAGCAAAATTGGTTCAACCTAGTACTAGTAAGGTGTACCTAATAAAGTGGCAAGTGAGTGTATTTTAACATGTTATTTATTTATGTGTTGGCAAAACTCAATTTTCAGCAGCCATAATGACAGATTCAGAAATCATTCTAACATTGTATTATTTATTTATTCATTTTTCTTTAGCTTATAGTCCCTTATTTATCAGGGGTCACCACAGCGGAATGAACCGCCAACTATTACCGTACATGTTTTGCACAGCGGATGCCCTTCCAGCCCCAAGCCAGTACTGTGAAACATTGTATTATATTGGATTAATATTACAATATGTATTTATTATAATAAAATGTATTATATTCATTTTAAATAGAAATCTTTTGTATTATAAATGTATTTTCTGTTTAAAGTTAGTAGCATTGCACGTACTGTATCTTTTAAAGAACAGACAGTCCTAGAAACCATTGTGAGAATTCAAGCTTGATGAAATAACATGTATGATCAAGAAATATGTGAATTATTAAACATAAGAGAAGTACCAAAGGTAGTCAAAATAGGGTGATGTTTGTTTTATGGCTAGTGCTGTATATCTCACCTTTAGCACCTTTAGCTTAGCAACATGCTAACGTAAAACTTTTTTGGTATTGATATTGAATGCAGTTTTCCACAAGTGCTATTTGTGGAGATGTTTACTTGTGTAGATCACTCCACTCTGAATATCAGTAAGTTGTGAGCTGTCTTTTCAGTCAGGATCTGCTTTAGAAGGCAGGACAGTAGCTCGGTGGGTTTTGGAAAAGAGATCAGTGCAAACAGCAGGGCAGGATTTATCACGTTTTCTGATTGGGATTGAATTTGCTTCAGTGAGTCATGACAGATGGACTCTGCTATGAATTTGTGCTCCAACCAACGCAAAACAGGCAGGTTACTCACGTACGCCAGGCCTCTGTCCAGAAAAAAAAAATACTTTGTTTTTAAGCAATGGCTGAGGAGGTTAACCCACAGAACAGTGTAACTTTCCGTTAGCGCCTAACATTCGTCAGAGAAAGCTCTGGTGCAGTATTTGATACTGTGGAATGTCTTTGCCTGTGTGTTTTGTGCTGAGAAGCTCCACTCTGAACCTGCGGCTGGAGGTCACTGAAAATGTATTTCAGTGGGCCAGTGAGAGCTGACGCTATTCTTAGCTTGTTTGTGCATTTTACCATGATGTGGTGGAACAGTACCACACCAAACTGTTGTGATAATGGGTTTGGTGATTTTTATTTTTGTTTTGGATTTTTTTCTTCTTTTTTTGCTGCTGCTTGTGTGTTCCCAGCTGTTTACATGAGACAGGTTTATGGAGTGTTTAGGACAGTAGTGCTGGCGTAGTGTACTGTCCAACCACAAAATGTTCTAGAAGCTGTGTTTTCAACAACAATCTGCTCTGCTCTGCTCCAGCTCTAGTGAACACTGCCACCTGTTGATGAGTGCCAAACACCAGGAGTTCATAGACATTATAATGCTGTTTGCACTGCAGTATATCAGATTTGTACATGTTATAAAATATGAATTGCATTTTAAATGATCATATTATTTATATAAAGAGAGAAATGTCACCTAATTTGCCCCTTTAACATTTTGAATATGCATTTATTTTAATTTTTTTTTGTTTTCTTTTTTGATTTTGGTGTTATGCTTTAGCTTTTGTTATTTTATTAAATGATTCTGTTTAACTTTAATTTGACATTTTAATAATTATACTAACCTTAGCTAGGGTCAAGGCAACACTTTTAAATTGCATTCAAGTTTTTCAGTGCTATTTCTTTATTTGAGATTTATTGCAAAACTACAAATAGCAATTCTGAGTAGTTTTAGTTAATAATATTTCAATACAGACTCCAAAACATTGCTGTTTTTTTAACTGGTCACACTGGGCTCTAAGGAGATGCTGTTTACATCAGAATTATTAGTCTCCTTGAATTATCAGCCCCCTGTTTATTTTTTTCCCCAATTTTTGTTTAACAGAGAGATTTTTTTTAAACTAATTTCTTAATAACTCATTTCTAATAACTGATTTATTTTACCTTTGCCATGATGACAGTGAATAATATTTGACTAGATATTTTTCAAGACACTTCTATACAGCTTAATGTGACTTTTAAATGTCTTAATTAGGTTAACTAGGCAGGTTAGGATAATTAGGCAAGTTATTGTATAATGATGGTTTGTTCAGTAGACTATCGAAAAAAATATATAGCTTAAAGGGGCTAATAATTTTGACCTTAAAATGGTTTTTAAAAAATGAAAAACTGCTTTTATTCTAGTCAAAATAAAACAAATAAGACTTTCCCCAAAAGGAAAAATATCATCAGACAGTGTGAATAATTCCTTGCTCTGTTAAACATCATTTGGGAAATATTTAAAAAAGGAAAAAAAAATCAAAGGTGGGCTAATAATTATGACTTGAACTGTGTGTATTTGATTTACTAATAAGAACTGTCTCAAAAGAGTGATTTGAAACTGATAACACTGTTTAGATTGTGTATTCCTGAAAATGAACTGGCTCAAAAGTGTAGTTTAATCTTTTTTATTCACTAAAAACAACAAGAGAATCTGAATATCCTTATCACATTGTCTACTACTGAAATGGCTCAAAGGAGTAACGTGTTCTTGCTCCATTGAATTTTTGTGATTTACTAAAATGAACTGACTCCTAAAAGGGGATCGCACAACAGACGCACCACGATGCGCTCATGACAGTTACAGGTATTGCACACCAGACACGCACATTCTCATTCATTTTCTTTTTGGCTTAGTCCCTCAATTAATCAGAAGTCGCCACAGCAGAATGAACCGCTAATTTACAAAGCATATGTTTTATGCAGCAGATGCCCTTCCAGCTGCAACCCATCTCAGGAAAACACCCATACAATCTCATTCACACACATACACTACAGACAATTTAGCCTACCCAGTTCACTAGGACTGTGCTGGAAACCGGAGCACCTGGAGGAAACCCATGCGAACATGGGGAGAACACGCAAACTCCACACAGAAATGCAAATTGAGCAAGCCGAGACTCAAACCAGTGACCTTCTTGCTGTGAGACAACATCGCAACCCGCTGCGCTGCCCCATGCACAATATCATGTTATTTAAAAGGAAACTAATTAGATGGTGCTCTGTGGCACAGCAGAAATATGAAGTGTCCCGAGTTGTAGCTGGGCACCTTGGACAGCCACCGACCTGCGACACCGGTGTATGTACCAGGATAAAAATCTCTGTTTATACCAGCTCTTTGTGTTAAGTGTCATACAGAGCTTGGGACATACTTTCATTGCTTCTGGAAGAGCAAACTCATTTCAAGATTCTGGAACTTTGTTGCGTATGAAATTAGCACGATTTTTAAGATCAAATAAAAAAAAAAGATCCCAGTCTTTTTCTTTTGGCACTCCCTCTAAAACACAAGCATTGTCAATGACCCTTGACACAAAAGGTTAAACATTGTTTGATAAACTGCTACTTGTGGCAAGAAAACGCATCCTTATTAGATGAATACGAAACAGTCCCCCCACTGTGACACAATGGTACAGAGAGATTTTTGCAGTTTTGCCCCACAGGAGGCTTGCAGCTGTGCTTAATGATAACATAGTTTCAAACATAGTTTCAGAGTTTTCAAAATATACGATCTCCTTTTATAGATCACCTGCCCTAACATGTGAGAGAAATGGTTTCGTTTGTTTAATTAGATTTTTTTTGTTTTTTGTGGAGGAGGTTTGTCAGAGGTTTAGGGAAGGGTCTTGTGTTATTTATTTGTTACTTTTGTTGTTGTTTTTCAAATTTTCTTTTGTTGTGTTCTAATATTCTTTTTTTATCACATGTTTATATTATAGGAATGTGCTATGATTAGGAAAATATATATTTAGTTTTGTGTGCCTTTCCAGAGACTATATGACTAATTGTGCACCAATATTGATACTTATAGGTATGATGTTTCCTTTTTTTCCCCCTTACCTTCATCTGTCTGCTGGCTTATTTTTAAGAATTACTATAATTTCTACAACCCATTGCACATTTTTTGTAAAACCTGCCTTTGACTGTCTGTAAAAGCACATTGTACAATCATTTTGATAACCTTAAATAAACATGTAAAAAAAGAAAAAATCTATGTTTAGAATTCTAAAATGAACAGCACTGCGTGGCATAGCATGGCGCATCGCCGAGTGGCGCATCCGGTGTGTGACCCCCTTAAGAGTAAGCTGTCTATTAGTGTGCATTTTGTGGTAGACAGCCAGTTTATTGCATTACATCCAGTACAGTCTAATTAAATGTTTATGATTAGCGTAGGACACTTTTCTTAACTCACACGTGACTAAATCTATATCATAACGCTCTATGTGTTCTGTATCTGCCCTACAGGTTTGAGCTAATGCGTATGTGCTGGCAGTATAACCCTAAGATGCGGCCATCTTTCCTGGAGATCATCAACAGCATAAAAGAGGAACTGGAGCCTCCTTTCCGGGAGGTTAGCTTTTTCTACAGTGAGGAGAACAAGCCACCCGATACTGAGGAACTGGACATGGAGGTGGAGAACATGGAGAACGTCCCGCTGGATCCTGCATCCACATTGGCCCCCTCTTCTCAGGGGAACACAGGAATTCAATCCCAGAGCCCGCAGCCGCTCTCCCCAGCGCAGGGGCCTGGGACGCCGCTTGGGTCTGCACAGACCCCCTCCACCTCTCCGCCCTCATCCTCAGCCTCTCCAGGCCTGGCTCTGGATAAGCACTCAGGACAGGTAGCGGCAAATGGACCGGTGGTGCTGCTGGGGCCGGCGTTTGACGAGACGCAGCCTTACGCACACATGAACGGCGGGAGGAAGAACGAGCGAGCGCTGCCACTGCCTCAGTCCTCGGCCTGCTGATCATCACAGGGTACACACATTTCCCTCCTCCCTTTGTCTACATGGTCGTATGTGTTTTTTCTTTCATTCTCGAGGAGTCAAAACCCAGCGCCGACCATGGAGTCGACAACCAGATGGATGGTGTCCTGCCTGGAAGTCATTCAGTTCAAATGATTTGGAATGACGGAGGACGGTTTGGGCAGTTGAAAGAAAAAAGCCTCCAATAACTCTTGCAATATTTAAGATTTCCGAACAAACCACCACACTGGAGGGCCCTGGCTTCCACAAAAAACGTTTCTAAAGGAAGAAAAGCTGCCAGTTTATTGTAACACAAGAGAGACTAGCCAGCAAGCCCAGCCCGTGAACACTTTAAGGGTGCATACGAGTGTGTTTTCTACAAAACTACACATTCCCCTCCTCAGCGCAAGAACATTTCTTCCTCTAAGACTGTCTGTCATCACATTTCTCTTCAAGAAAGCGCAGAGACTGGATCTGCTGCAATCGCTTGTTCTCAGTGAGTGATTGCTCATGTTACTGGTTAATCCACCCTTCAACTTCATATACTTCAAGGGTGTTTGTTACAGAGTGAGGTGGGCTTTTTTTAAAAACTGCCAAATTTTTGCCAAATCAAATTTCCTTTTTTTCTGAAAACACAGACAGAAATATATTTATCATTACAAAACCCCCATCCACAGCCGACTTTTTAGGGTTGCACTTTGGAGTAGCGCAATCGAGGGACTAAACTCTCATACTGTCTTTGATAGGGATTTCTGCACCTCATCTTTTACAATCAGCTTGAGTTTGTAAATCGTTCCCCTTTTTATACGGCTCTGATCTCTGACTATTGCATGGCAGTTCCTGCTGCACGCACCATCTGTGAGCTGAGCCTCTTTAAGAGCGATGTCTCTAGTCAAAAGAAAAGAGCGCAACGCTAGTCGTGAAGGTGAAGAGATCGGCGCGCCGCGGAGAGACGGATGTGAATTAAAAGGGATCGACTCGGTCATGAAGCAGACTGATTACAGGGGCTTCATCTGTTTTGACTTCATCTGTTTTGTGAGACGAGTGAGGCATCGTACACAGCAGGTATTTTTTTAGACTAGTCATTAGTCTCTCTGTACAATTCATATGATTCTAAGAAGGGTCTTACAGTTCTATGTTAGACCACAAGATCATTTACACACAAATCATTGGTTTGAGTCACTTTTGATAACTTTTTTACGGTTCTGATGTTCACCTCTTTGTCTGTACAGAAAGAAGCTGCTATTTTTTTTTCTTTTGTGGGTGTTTATATATATATATATATATATATATATATATATATATATATATATTAAAGAAATCCTTCAGGTTTAATATTTTATGATATCTCCACTACAGTCCATTTTCTTATGCTTTTTACTCTTCTTGCAGAAAAAAACAAACAAAAAAAAGAACAAAAAAGTGAATAGCAATTTATTTTTATTTTTTCTCCCTGAGAGGTTGTCTGCATTGCCACTTGTCCATTGCCTTGTGTTTTTTTAATATTTCTCTGTAATATTATTATTATTATTATTAGTTACAACAGACTCTTAGCTCTGCATGTGAACTTTAGGCACCCTTGATACAGTTGTCTACCATTGCGCCTCCTCATGAGGTGCAGCTCAATCTCAGGTTAATGTCATGGTTTTCTTCTCCAGACATTCTCATCATTGCTGATTCCACCTTGGAGTTTTTAAGTTGCTGGCCTCACCTTACAGTGTAGTAAACCGTACAGTATGTCAATGTCCATGCTTAAGTCTCTTAAATAGATGGCTTCATTTACATTTCTTTACCTTCATAGATATTTTTGTAACCCATTCATGTAAAGAATAGCAACTAACAGGGCTAATTAGATTGTCTTAACTTGTCTCACATACTCTACCCCAACCAGCCTGTAACAAAAAAACATACAAAGAGACGGTCATGATCTTTGCTTTGGCGTCTCGCACAACTCACCTCGATTTTTATAAATCTGTGATGAATCGTCACCGGTAACCAAATAAGAGCAGGTTCTATATCAGTAAAGCGATCGGTTTATTCAGAGAATGCTAAATAATACAGTAGGTTTCCCTGGCTAGTTGGCTTTAAAAAAAAAGTTTTGTTTTGAAGGATTTCTCCATGTTTGTTTGAGAATGTTACCCAGGACTTATCCTGTCTTAGAAGGTTTTTTCCCCCCTTTGGAGGGGTATTTATTTTTATTCTCTTTATGTTCGTGATACCAGTTGAAATCACTGTATAAATGCCCTTATGATTTAGTGTAAATTCTGAATTCTAGATGCATTTTCCATGATGTCATGACTGGGGGACTTACTTTGTTTTGTTTTTTAAATTTCCTTCAGCATCTATCTACCTCATTCTCTTTTATTTTAAGTGTGTAAGTATATGAAATGATAAAATACATCTCGCTTTTTTTCTGTAGAGGGCACCTTATCATCCTCTGTCATGTCTCTAATTTAAAAATACTTTAAGCACCACAGAGCACAAGCTCCCAGGAATGGAGAGAGAAAGAGAGAGAGAGGAAGTTATGGTGTGAACTGACATGTCTGTGGGATTTCTAATGGTGTGTCTATTGCGTCCCTTATCACATACACAAAACTGCTCCCGCTGCTCTCAATCACACCGCAATACTTTACTAAATGTCTAATTCACAATGCTTTAATCATCATGGTTTTAGAGATAAAAGATAGTTCTTTGCTATCCGTGGTTTTCTTTTATATTAAATATTCCAATTAAAATCAATGAAACAGCTTTTTTTAATAAAGGTTAAGGAGAGCAAACACCTAGTCACATGTATGCTAGCAAATTTGATATAGATGAATAAGATATTGTCATTGGAAGTCTTCATCCCCCCAAAAAAGGGGTTTAGTCTTCAAAATGGTTGCAGCAGAACTAAAACAAGTTGTGTGAAATATAATTCAGAACATTTACATGGGAAAACTTCATTATAAACTGCAGATGTGGTGTAGAGGATTGGAAGAAGGAGAGTTCAGCCAACAAGAACACACGATTTATATCTAGATATGATGCTGTTACACTGTAAAACCCAACAGTCAACGTTATTAAAATAAAATGAGTGTAGTCAACTAAAAACCTACTGAAAGTTATTTCTAATCATTTGAAGAGTTTTGAACTCAGTGTTGAAGGTAATCAGTTAATTAAATACTTCAATACTTCAACTTAAATAGAGTAAGTTCACAGAACTTGAATAGATTTTTTAAAACTCAAATGGTTTGTAGCAATCGGTTTCCTCAAACAGTTTGAGTTGCCTTAACTTACTGGGTTTTACAGTACTGATTTGGTTTGAGTTCTCTTCGTTTATTGGGTTTTACTGTGCTCAAATTGCTTTGTTTAATCCATTAAATGGATTAGTTTTTAAACTTAAATGGTTTGTTGCAATCGTTTTCCTCAAATGGTTTGAGTTACCTAAACATATTGGGTTTTACAGTGTATTAAAATAACCTAATGCAATACTTAATGGGATGTTCACCCAAGAAAATCTCACTTGCTGTTGATTTACATTAGGGTCTTACAAAGACAAGTGGTCTGTGCAAGGAACTGGTATTTACAACATTGGCCTGTCACGAAAATGCTCAGGACCATTAACCAAGGATTAAAAGTTATAATTTTGTAATTAATGTTGTGTTTTTTTGTAGAATAGCAGGATTGATTCATTTCATACACAACATGTTTTTGGGTTTTACTCTCGGGACGTACCGGTCGACTTGGATTTTATGAATCACCAAGGACCACAATTCAATTACATTTCTAAAAGTTCTACTAAAGAAAATCTTATGTTACAGAGTTTGGCAAAAATACATTGTACATTTTTCTTTTGAGCCAAAAAAATCCTGATAATATTATGTAAATATCACATTTTGTAAATTTCCTAATTTTAAATTTATCATAACAAAGATTTTGATTATATCTGTTCCTAAGAAATTAATTTGGACAATTTTAAACTTGATTTTCTCAGTATTTAGATTTTTTTTTTATTCTTCAGATTCACTTATTAAATATTGCTTTATTCAACTGTCAGATAATGCATATATCCATAAATATATACCATTTTCCAAAAATTGACAGTTGTGTCTGTTTTATGTGGTCCAGGATCACAAATCACCAACATGTTGGATGACCAAAGTGTGAATAAATGAACAGCAATCTTTATTTTTCGGGTGAACTGCCTATTAAAGCTTTGATTAACTTCATTAGGAACTCATATGCAGCATAAACAGAGATCGTTCTGCTTCCCAACACCGCTGTCCTGCATCTGTCAGTATGTCTGTACACCGATAACTACCTGATTCATAAGCACCATTGTTGGCCAAAGCTTCTAGCAATTCAATGCATAATGTGGATTTCATAACAAACCAGTGGTTTTTTTCCCTTTCTCATAAAATAAAAAATCTAGCAGGAAAAAAATTCCAACTGATTTGTTTGGTCAGAATCACTCCACATGTCTAGCGAGTACCATATATAAAGAGCCGATTGTTGTCATCGTACTTATCGACATTGTTCTCCAGAGAGAGAAAGGGCTGCGGTTTGCCTCTCTTTTCTACTGCTGCTGACAACGTGCTGCTTTACAAAGACTACAAATAGTCTTGCCAATAGCATTGGGTAGGTGGTGGTTCTAAGCAACGGGATTTCTCTCTCCAAACAACCGCTAAAAACAGATGGGTCAGACGATTACAATGCAAAACGGCCGTGGTCTTACAACCCCTGGTCGTTCTGTTTCATGGCACTTAAAATGACGGATATTTTGAATCTTTTGAACTCCAGGGGTTGCAAATGAGGACGCTCGTTGGAAGAGATCTGGTCGGGATGCTGAGAGGCACATTGTTAGAAAAGAGTATTATTCTATGTGGTACAAAACGGTCGAAATAACCAATCTATAAAAGCCCTTGTGCTTGTATTGTTGCGTATGTATATGGGTGGGAGTGTATCACATGTAGATGTAGTGATTAAGATTTTGATGTGTTTATAATGGGAAGATAATAGATATCACTATTTATTTCTGTTCTTTTTTTTTTTTCTTTCTGTAA